CCACCAGAGGGCCAGTCTCCCAAAATGCCAGTTGCACTCAAGGGCAGCCCTCGAACTCCCACCGCAGGGGAAAGTCTTAAGGAAAACATCCACCGGCTTCGTAGGTTCTCCATGCCTTTGCAAGAGGAGGATGAAAATTTGAGTTCCCCAGTATCAAATAAACCACCACTGTCCACGATATTTGTCAATGCTGAGCCTCAAGACAAAAGTAATCACCAAGAAAGTACCGAACAAGTCAATGTAGTAAAGCCTGTTGAGGTTGTAAAAGAGGAGACCAGGAGAAATTCTAAACGGGTCTCATTTGGACCAGTTCTTAGTCCTGAACAGTTTGACAAAGATCTACCCCCAGCAACTCCTGTGAGACGAGGTTCTACACCTAAAAGAGCTGCTTCCTCTGCCAAGAGAAGAAGATCGGTTCTCTCGGTACCAAAAACTGATTGCATTAGAGAAGATGATGGAGGTGTTGAGGACTTTTTTATGACTGAGGATGTAGACTCGAACGCAAAGTCGCTAAAGGAACACCACATTAGTCCCGAGGAAGATAGCCATGAATCAGAGTCTGTTCGGAAGGAAAGCACTGCAGTGCAGGAAAAGGTACCAGGGTCTATTCGGGACACACCTGAAAGAGGTCAGCCGTCGTCAGAACAAATTACACCCAAAAGTACTAAACCTAAAAGCAGGAGGAGATCATCGTCTCTGGTCGGAGAAATGAAGTTAGAGCTCACTGAGACCAGCAGAGTCACTACAGCGAGTGATACTGTGACAGAGGAATCGAAAAACGCAAGACGATCGTCATTGAGACTCGCGCAAAAAAGCCCTGTACAAAGATCAATAGCGCCTGAGACTGCTGCTACTGCAAGTAATGACGATGAAGACATCGATGAAACTATTTTGGACAGTGATGATTACACTTCGGATGAAGAAGATCCAGTAGGAGGAGAGGGAAAAGAGACGGGGCAGAGTAAACTTGGAAAAGGCCTGAAAGAAGAAGAAGTTGAGCAACAGAAGGCAAAGAAGATGGCCACACCCATGAAGAATGAGATCGCAAATGGAGTCAATCTCCGACAAACTAAGAAAAAGATGACAACACCTCTCCGAAAAGAAATTGAAGAGGGAGTCAAATTACACGAGACCAAAAAGAGGATGGCCACACCATTGAAGAAAGACATTGAAAATGGGACCAACCTTCGACAAACCAAAAAGAAGATGGCGACACCGTTGAAGAAAGAGATAAAAGAGGGAATCACATTGCAACAGACGAAGAAGATGATGGCCACACCATTGAAAAAAGAAATTGAAACTGGAACAAGCCTTCGAGAAACCAAAAATAAGCTTGCCACGCCCCTAAAGAAGGAAATTGAAAATGGGACAAACCTTCGAGAAACCAAAAAGAGGCTTGCAACGCCCCTAAAAAAAGAAATAGAAAATGGGACGAACCTTCGACAAACTAAGAAGATGATGGGCACACCATTGAAAAAGGAAATTGAAACTGGAACAAGCCTTCGAGAAACCAAAAAGAAGCTTGCCACGCCCTTAAAGAAGGAAATTGAAAATGGGACGAGCCTTCGACAAACCAAGAAGATGATGGGCACACCGTTAAAGAAAGAGATAAAAGAGGGAATCAAATTGCATCAGACGAAGAAGACTATGGCCACGCCCCTTAAGAAAGAAATTAAAAATGGGACCAGTCTTCGACAGACCAAAAAGAAGATGGCAACTCCTCTCAGGACGGAGATCTTGGAAGGCGTGAAATTGAGAGAGACAAAGAAGAAGCTACAAACTCCGGTCAGGAAAGCGATAGAAGATGGCGTCACCTTGAAGAAAACCAAGAGTAAGCTTTCAACACCGTTGCGAAAAGCCATTCAAGCCAAACCAGAATTGCGGCAGACCAAGAAAATTATGAACGTGCTGCTTCAGGATGATATCAAGCAAGGTGTTAACCTTAGGAAAACCAAGCAGAGCATGCCACTTGAGGTTCAGATTGAGATCATCAAAGGAAAGAAACTTAGGTCAACGAAGAAGAGTTTGCCCACTCCTGTGAAGAATGATATCAGTGGAGGAGTAACTTTGAGGAAAACGAAGAAAAGCTTACCGACACCACTGAAGGAGCAGATCAAAAAGGGTTTGCCTTTACAAAAGACCAAGAAGAGTCTACCTACTCCTGTGAGAAAACAGCTTGAAGGAAAAGTTACACTGAAGTCCACCGTGAAGTCCGTGAAGCGAAAGAGAAGCGAAGGTGGACTCAACGAACACGATGCAAAGAGAATGAAAACTTCACCTTCAGAAGAGGTGAATGAAGAAAGTAAAGGGTTCCAAGAAGCTCCGGTAAGAAGAGCCTTGAAGACTCCGCTCAGGAAAGCCATTATTGCGGGAAGAAAACTGCGACCCACCCGTCACCGTATGGCCACACCACTTCGCACTGGGATCCACTCTAGACCAGCACTCAGAGCTGTTCGTCGGAAGTCGTCATCTGTTCGGGACGAGATCGGACCGCGAAAACCCACATACGCAGAAATCGTGAAAAGAGCTACAAAGACTGCTGTGAGAAGATCTTCCAAGGGAAATTCATTCAAGTTTGGAAAAACGGCACCAATTTGTAAGAAGGTATGTTTATGTTATGGCGAGTTTTGTGGGTATATGGACTGAGGCAAATTCTTCAGGGCTAACAAACATCGAGAAGGTACATGTACAACTTCTCGCGAGAAATATAACAAAAGAGAAAAAGTGTGGCTGACAGGGATCGACACGGATTGTGAAGGAGCTTCATGGATATACACGTTGTGGCTTCTTTAAGTATGAAGTAGCCATGGAACTCGTTACTATTGTATTATCCTCAATTGTTTAGGTTGCAACAAAATCAGTCAATATTAAGTTTTAGTAGTAGATACGGATACCACAGTACTCAACGTTTGTATTTTCAACACTTCATAGCGGCTCATCGAGTACATGTTGTTTAAACTTGCAGGCCGAATCTGTTCCACCCGTTAATGTTGCTGATGTTGTTGCGGCAGATCATGGTAAGTTCATCCTTGTTATCAACTGTTGCGGAGCTGAAAAAAGGCTCCAAATATCCAAACGATTTCATGAAATTCAAGGAAACAAATGTTCCAATTTGCACTTGTTGGATACGAGATTGGTTATAGCCAACGAGAAGCGTAGCAACGCGTTGGCTATTTACCATCTCACATCTAACGCACGCTCATGGAATAAAAGTTAATTATTATTAACAAATATTTGTGTTACGAGATCTAACCTGAAATTTGGTGTGCAACGTTATTTGCTTTAACTGAAATTATAGACTTAGAGTGCGAAAAAGAAATCTCCCCCAAGAAAAAAATTTTTTTTCATCAGACTGGACCTCACCAAGAACCATTTGTAGACTTATTTTTGTTTTTAACTCAGAATTGATTTGCATTGCCGTGCTTGAAGTACATTTACAGAAATTTCACCATCCATTATCTTATTAGCAGTTTAAACTATCCTTGTGTAAATTTTTATTCGCTTTGCATGTATTAAACAAGTCAAATAAGAGAACTTCATTCAATTTTGTTTCATGTTACGGTGCTCTACCCCTATCCTTTTTCTGACGCCTCTCTACGTTACTCTCTTACTTACACGGGTTATATGTCGACAGAAGTCCCCAGCAAACCTGTCAATGACAGTCAGTCAATCCAGAAGCGGAGAAGTGCACGTCTTGACGAAAAGGCCGTTCCCCAAGCGATGGTCGACAGTGTGGGTGTGCTAAATTCACCAGAGACCAACGAGAACGCTCCTCAAAGTACTTGGATGTCAAGCCTTGCACGAGCCACCAACGGCGTGAAAGCACGTGCCAAACCCGTGGAAGACTTGGAAGGCCTGGTAGAAATGTTTGCTACCCCACCGATGGTTGACATCAGCAAGGACACATCCAAACAACAAAAAGGAAGCAACTGGTTGTCGAGTCTTGCCAAAGCGACGAAAGCTCCACGAAAACGTGGAATGGCTGTCGAAGATTTCGAAGGAGTGCCTGAAATGTTTGCAACACCACCATCTATCTCCGTGGCCACACCGCGCACCACCACAGAAGACGAGCTCACTTCAAGTCCTGAAGAGCAAGACTTAAACTTGACAGAATCCATGAAACTATCAAAGACGCCTTCTTTGAGAAGTTTTGGAGAAGATACGGAGTTTGTTCAGATAGTAACCCCCATACACAGCTCTCACACCCCGTCACTAAGGTCAAGAAATGCGCAAACTATCAAGAGTGCTGTAACGCCAGAGGTGTTGCTGGAAACGAAAGAAGCATTAATGACACAGAAGACACCATCTCTGCGAAGTTCAGCCAAAGATGCTGTTACAGTGGAAGTTGTGACTCCGCTGCAGCCTTCTCGTACGCCATCTCTTCGTTCTGCCATGCAGCAAACGTCTGTCTTCTCTAGCGAGTCTCCAGACATTAAAATGGAGGTTATTAAGCCAATAGCTCCAACCAAAACCCCATCTATTCGTTCATCAGCTCAAGTAAAGGCAGTTTCAGCCGTCAACGTTAAAAAACCCAGTACCAGTGACCGAAAAAGTTTAGGTCTGCAAGGCCTCGCCCGACTGATGAAGGTACCGAAAGAGAACAATGCCGTGGAGAATGTCGAAGATTTCTTTGCTCCCAGCGTTTTTGCATCTCCCAAGCCGGAACCCAAACGTTACTCACGCAAAAGTGAAGGGTTACAAGGAGTTGCCAGGTTGCTGAGAACACCAGGTGATATGGGTGAAGGGGCCGCTGTAGAGAGCCCAAAGTTTGACGGTATTAAGAAAATGATGCGAACTGAGAAAGCTGTGGCCAGTCCGAACTTTGTTGGGCTCAGGGCGCTGATGCAGACGCCTAAAGATTCTAAGAGAGCTGTTGACCTTGAAGAACACTTCATATCAGATTTATTTTTGCTGCCTGTCGAGGATTCCTTCCAAGACACAGTCCAATCCGTTGTCCAGGGTGAATGTGATAAGGAGCAGGATGTACGGGCTATCAACTTAATTTCTCTAGAATCCGAAGAAAAGACAGCTGAAGCATCAGAGGACGTTAGCTCCGAAACTGTACAAAGAGTGACCCGAGCCAAGCGTAAGCCACCCAAAAAACTGCCTGAACCAGTGCCTAAAAGAGGGCGCTCTACTCGTGCAGCTGCAAAACAAAGCAGTGAAGGCAAAACAACTCCTTCCAATCCGAAAGTCGTGCAAAGAAAGACAACGACAAGAAGTAAAAAGAGTTCGGCAGCAAGCCTACCAAGCACGCCGAAACCGTTAGAATTTAAGCGCACGCAACTAGATCCAATTATTGAAGTTCTTTCTCCTTTGCCTGTGATTGATCAGACGGTCGAGGTCGCCGCCTCCCCTACATTGGTTGAGCCCGAAGCATCAGAGAAAGCCTTTACGAGAGGAGGAGTGGAGAAAACGACCGAGTTCAAAGCGCAGCAAACGGAGTCTTCGCGATGTTCTCGTCGTGGGATCCGTGCTAAAGCTAGAGTAGATTCTTCCTCGGAAGAGTGCAGTGGAGGTGAAGTCGCCGAAAAGCGTGTTGCTACAAAGAGAAGGACACGAGCGAAAGTCGAGGAAGACGGCGGCAGCAGTAGTGTAGATGTACAGAAGGCTGATATTGAGACTGGAAAGAGTGGTGGTAAAGGGAGAGCAACGCGTAGCTCTCAACTTAAAGAAGCACCTTCACAAAACGTTACGCTGCCAAGAACAACAAGAGGCGGTCGCAACCGAAGAGCTGAAGTTGCAGAGGTTGAAGATAAAGTTGTGATTGGTGATGCTGCCGACGAAACTATCAACAACTCCACAACCACGCGCTCTCGACGCAAAGCCAAGACCACCGAAGAATTTGCCTCGGTTGTGTCTGAGGAAGAGAGTGTTCGAAATGGAAAAGTCCAACAAAATGACGCAGAAGCGACAAAAGTAAGGAGAACTCGTTCGAGAAGAACAGCCGACAAAAATAATACTGTTAACGAAGACAAGCTGACCCAAAGCAGTCAAGCAAAGCGGACTAAGAAAGAGAGCGTCGCTAAAGCAGACGAAGAGACACAGTCGGAAGAGAAGGAGGCGTCTTCAAAGCAGAGATCCACAAGACGCACTCGCGGAAATCCGGTTGAGAGCATTGTTCCTGAGAGCACTGCTGCCTCACTTCAGGAGGTGGAAAATTTCCAGTCAAAGAGTTCCGTGAAAAATGTCCGGGGTAAGCGAGAGCCCAAAGGAAAAGCACTGGAAGAGCCCAGAACAACACGGTCATCAAGGAGCGCAAACCCAGCCAAAATAAAACCAACAGTTGAACCACAGCTACCCGTGCGTTCAACTCGAGGGAGAAAAAGGCAGCTCGGTGAAGAGGAGGTTGCTGAACCTGCCGTTCCAGAGGCGAAAAGGAAACGATCAAGTGCGCGAGCGCGAGATGTCGAGCCACCACAAACCAGGTCACTGCGCTCACGAAAGTAGTAATTGACCACAGTGTTCCATGATGATATTTACGTTCGCGGCACCGCTTTTCCGAGAGAGACTATGATTAAATCAGTTCTAAAGTTTATGTTTACACGCATAGCGTTATTCACATCCACTCGCAAGCAAGTTGGGTGGACAAATCTGAGAACAACTTTGATCGTACGTAAACATGCTGTAAATATTTGACTGCAAACATTCTTTCTTAAGAAATTGAACATAACGAGCTAGTTCCAAATTTAAGTTCTATCAACTTTCTCTATTTTTACACGTTTTACGGTATGAATTTTTCAGTTAGCTAATTAACAACAGGCTTTAACCGTTTTAACGAGAGGTTCTTTCAAAGAAACTGCGATCTTATTTGCTACCATATTGCCAATGACAATTTAAGTAGTATATAGAGTTATGTTTTATCAAACCGTTGCCCTAAAGGTGGATTCAATTTTATCAGAACCATCATGTTACATTATTTTACGTAAATCAAATTTGTTTAAGTTGTCGGTTTGTTTATTCATCAATTATGTAACGAGAGGCTTTTCTCACACATGTATTACATTTTATGATTTTAGGTAAAGTGTGTTTCAAGGAGGAAATGAAAATTGCGCTTTTGTCGCGCGAGTTTCCTGTATAAATCGGGTCATGACCCTCATATATTCCACATCAAGTAGAACAAAACGTGAAAGTCATGCCATGTAAATATCTTCAGGGCATATTAAAATTATTTTATCCATAGTGATGTGTTGCCAGTATAATTTTTTTCTTATTCAAGGTAGAGTTCTCAGACGCCAAAAACAGAACTTTTTCTTCGTGTCCCTCTTTGTAGATTTCCGCCAAATGCTTTCATCTTTGCCCATCGAGAACGTGCATCATCTGGCAAATATGGAAAAAAATAGAAAATTATTTGAGTAAAATCGCATTGCCTCGAAAAGGCTCCCACCCCCAGGCCAAAATGTAAAACAAACACCCTCCCTTAAATAGGGATACAAGGAAAACCCGCTTGTGTTGCCACTTTCATAACGTTTCAAGCTTCAACTTAAACGGAATCAGTACAGAGAAATAGTCAATTTTCCGTTAGGTCACTTGCAGTTATTTCTATCTCATTATTGCAGAGTTCCTTTAAGCGCGTTCTGTTTTTTTAATTTTATTTTTCAAAACTTGATAGGTAGGCGCGAAAGCTTAACCCTCACGTAGCGTCAGGTCCGAGAATTGAACCCCGGCCACTGCGGTCAAAGGCGATTACTATAAGAACTTTGCGATCCCAGTTGCCCCTAAATTCCTAAATACATAGAGATCAGTTCCATGGAAAGTGCACGCGAACGATTTTATTCACGAGCTGCGATTTATCGAAAAAAACGAATGATTTAGCGCACCGAACGAGTAAGTTTTTTGATGCATCACAACAAGAGAGTAAAAATCGTTCGTGAGCACTTCATTGGTATAAAGTCTTTATTTCATACATACTGACACTTTTTATTAGTGGGTCGCTTCAGAAAAAAATCATTTCAGTAAACGAGCAAACTTGTCTTTTTGACCTGTTGTTGCTATGAAAGTCATCTGAAAAACCTTTTTTGGTGGAAAGTTATGAAAAGAAGAGTCAGAGAAAAAAAATTGCCAAAAAGTGTTGTTGCCTTTTTCATTTCCACTCGGGCTAATTTTTCTTCCTCTAGATATTATAAAAAGAATCCTTGCCCATGCTGTATCATTCATTCAAGAGGTCTCTTTCCCAAGGCATATCTCTTTATATTATCACTGAGTGACGGAATCAAATCATTCGATCCCAAATTATCTTGTGCTATCGCTAGTACCATGGTTACCAAGCTGGTTTTACTGGATAAATAGTTCTCTGGTTTGTGGGGTTTGGTCCTGAAAAAGCGTTGAAGCGGTTGCCAAGCTGGAGTGTCTATTTCAGGGACCAGTTATTTTAAATCGACTGGGGCGGGCGGGCGGGGGGAGGAGAGGATTTTGGGGATCAGATGATTTTCGGGGAGGGAAGGGGGATTAGTCGTCGCCAACAGATTATAAGACGGACTCTATGTGGGATCATAAGGCTACTGCAGAGCCTTATAAGGGAATCAGTTAATTTTAAGAAAGTAAATATTCGCTCACCCCTTTGATCAAGTCCAAGAAATGTGATCAGTTGTGCAGCTTCATTTTCTTCCCATGCTGTCCAGTTTTCCATCGAGACAGAGGTCAAGAGGTCCTATATAAAGCACGACACAGAGCAGTCTTACTGAACTACATCTGAGGAACTCGGTTCGGTAGACGAAATGTCACGTGAGATTTGTCCATAGTTGTCTTCATTTCCGCACAGTACGGAAAACAGTGAAGGAAAATAGAATTATGGGATGAGGAAATAGGATAGGGTTCCTTTTGAACGCATATAATCTAAGGCCAAATATCTGAGAAGAGGAAGATTTTTAATGCATGATAAAGAGGTATCCCACTCGTGGTTAAGCCTTAAAAAGTAATTTTCAGTCGCGTTTCGCGTCCCTTTATTTTCTTTCCACTCGTTCCCATGGCGACTTTGTGAACTGCCCGCACTGTGGGGACTGGGAATGAGTCAGTTTTCACCTCGTTTCGAATCTCGAACCGTAAGTTACCGCTCATAAACCCTTGAGCGTATACAACCTCGTAAGGGGTTTTTACTGAGGTGGGCATATAAACGGGGGGGGTAATAATCGGGGGGGACTTGTAAATGTGGGAGGGGGTGCTTATAAGCGGGAGTTTACGGTATTCATTATAACATAGCTAGTAACTTTGTCTAATCAAATTCAATTGCGCGAGCGTGCTTCATATTCCTATTGTGCACGCTCATGACGTCAGCAAACAAATCCCTCGAGAAAAAAAATTTCCTTCACGTTGAAAATGTTATGAAACAATTGAAGTTTGGAGAGCACTCAAGAAGTTAGAGTTGCTCTCGGCTACGGCTCGAGCAACTCTTACGCATCTTTCGTGCTCTCCAAACTTCCCGCGTGCTTCATATCTCGATGAACGCACGCTAACAGATGAACCAATTGTTATTTTTAGCGCAGAGATATAGTATGACGTTACAAAATGGCATGGGTGACTAACATGCATAATGCATGTTCCATCAATTTCCTTTTTGAAATTAAAAAATTAAGTTGCCAATCATATGGGAATAGAAAAAAATATTGGAAAATCAGGAATCGCCATAGTTAAATTGCGTTCTATTGAGATCAATTGTTTGTCGAGTCACTTACTTGTAGCTTGTCTGTGCGAAGGAGAGCCTTCTGATTCTCCAGATTTTCACACACGAGGGTCAGCAGGCAAGCAGCCGTAGAACGTCTCTAGAATATAAAAGTTACACTGTCACGCAAAATACAATATACCACAACTCCACTGTTTTGAGATATCATTCAGACAGGTTAGTTCTGATATATTAGGGTCCAGATCCCTTGTATTTAGCGACTGTGAGAACATGCACAGTTGGCGCTAAAAAGATGGCGAGTCCGTGGTTCATTTTATGGTTTGGCTGAGCTTGAAGGAGAATTTTCTATAAAAAAAAAAAAAAAAAGTCCGGCAACCAGCACGTCTCCAAAGGCCTCACTATACTAGCCTTTACATATGCGGGTTGTTTTATGATTGGTGTAGAGGATTCCTATATTCCCTGAGCCGCCACCGTTACATTTGCCCTCTAAGAGAGTTGTGAATCACCCAAAAGTACAAGGTGCTACCCGAGACGTTCACCTGGTACTCCTACGATTTTGTTCGACAGTTACTGATAGAAGCTTATCCGATGCACGATTTCAGATAATTATCTGAGCGATCGAGTGTCTATAGACTTAAGTAACCACGATAACCAATTAGAACAAGGAAATATCACAAAAGACAAGAGAGAGCAGGGTTAGTTCTAAGAAGAATTATTTCTCATCATGCTTTGCAGATAAATTTTGGTGAAACGGAGATGAAATATTGACGCGAAAAAACACGCAAGACCAAGTCGCGATTGGCTTAACAAGAAAAAAACTTAAACTGAATGCGACTTAATGAATCTTTTTTCCTTTATGGGTAAGAGACAAGATTTCTCGAGCAATCACAGTGTGTGGTAAGGGGAAACTAACGCAAAAACAGATAACTTTCACACTCAACTGCAAAGGTTAATAGTTCCCCTTACCAGAGCAGAAAAGTCTGGATCACTGTCTGTGGTGCTTAGAAACTCAGTAAGTTTCTCAACAAGACCATACATTCTGAAATTAAAAGGTTCTCACAATAACGCATTGCATTGGTTTAAATATGCTCTATAAATAGGTTCCTTTTAAATACCAAAACATTTATTTTTTGAAGTGCATACCACGACTAATGATTTGCATCAACTCTAATACAAAAAGATATATTAGTTTTCTCGTAAGCTTCAGCAGGAATAGAACCGCGGACCATCCGATTTCGCGCTCCGTTCCTATACTTTTTCCTTCTCTCGAGACAAAACGAGTAATATTTCTATTACCTTAACGACTGAACTCAAAGTTCACAAACTTTCTTATTTCTTTGCACATTTATCCTCTTATCACAAGTTTGTATGAAATAAATTTCATTTGGCGTGGAAATGAAAATGAAGTAACGAAATGATCTTCACAGGTGGACTTCAATTTAAGCATTTGTTTTGACGGGATTCAAACCCGTGCCTCCTGGACACTAGTTGGGAAACTTTAGAAGCAAAAGCCTGAATTTTTTTAAGCTTATTTCTGCAATTGTTTAAAATGCATTCCACCTGTGAGAATCATTACTTTATTTAATCCTTTTATGCTATGCCTTTTTCTTTCAGCTTTATCTACAGTGAGATGATTCAGTAGAATGTAAGGGTCATTGGAACTCAAGCCAAAAAGATGGCAGTTGGAATAAACGGAGAGGTTAAGTGTAACCGGAAATTTAATAATGACGACTCGATCCGTTGATTCAAACAGAGATCGGCTTAACCTCAGCCACTTCTTTTTACACCATAAAATGAATGACGTACCTTGCTTTATCCTGATTTTCTTTGTTTGCACAACATATTTCACCTATTGCATGAACCGTGAGCTAAAATTGACAATTACATTTTATGAATTGTTCTGACTGACGAGGTCATCGTAGACAAAAGTTGTTTTATAGTTTAATGTGTCGAAAGTAAACGAAATTTAGGTTTTACCAGAGTTAAGGAATGTGCACTTAAAAATTTTAAATTTTCTTTCATCTTGTTTATTACTTGGCTTTTGTACCATGAGACTTTAGGATCCATGATAATAGAAGAAACCTCAGTAATAAAAAAGGTGAATTACTGATGAGAATGATGGTATCCTAAAAGAGAAAAAATCACGTCCTATATTTACCGCGTGTAGAGCTGAGATTTGATGAAAATAATTTACCATTCAAAATTCGCTTCGCCTCTGGGGAATAAGATAATTAAGGACTATTTGATCATGATTTAAGCGAAATTTCTTACCATTTTCAGGGCAGCAGGCTCGTTTGGATTATTTAACAGACTGAGTAAATTGACGAATTGGTTTCCGGAAAACGCAGCCGCGGACGAACCTCCTGAAGAACAGATATTGAACAATTTGTGAGCGCTGATGGTTTATCTTTCTTCATTTTATAATTGTTTTGTATTCTTCTAAAACTAAGCCAACTTGCAGTGAAAGGAAACCAAATTTTGTTGATTAATATGGGTGAAATTTCTGCAGAAAACAGAGTAAGGCCATAATATAAAGGAACCAGTCATTTATTATCGTGGTGGATGGGTGGGGGGGGGGGATTTGGGGGATCACATGATTTTTAGGGAAAACGGAGGAGGGGCACTCGTCACCAATGGAGTATAAAGGGGTGGGGGGCTCTAGAACATTGACTGTTAACTAACTGCCAATGAGGGGGAAAACATGAGAATTTCACAGAGCCTTAGTGGGGATAAGTCCGACCCATCTCCTCAGGAGACAAATAATGACCGCTCCCTCGTAAATGGATACCCGAGTGATTTGAAAAGGGCAAAAAGAAAGGAAAAAAAAGGTGACATTTCAGTAACTCGCATAGAGATTTTCTGATTTGACCAGGGGTTGCAAATTTTGTAAAAGTTTTGTTTTATGTTTTATCCTTTTTGTTTTTATTTCTTTTGACGTAACTTGGAACCTGTAGAATTTTAATGATAAACAGAAATCACTTAGATAATAACTGAACTTACCTGACCAAGACAAATGTCCCAGGTCTTTAACGGCTGTAAATAAAACAAAGAACTTAGATCACGCTCACGCTAGTTCAATTAGGTAAGTCGTTAGTTTTTTGTCAGTATGACGGATGTAGAGCTACCATGTAGAAATATTGTCAATAAATTATTATTATTATTATTATTATTACCTTCTCCCTTGCACGGCACTTCTGTTTTTTATGTGCAATTTTCACGACGCACTTAATAATGTTGAAATAACCTCTAACGGGCTGACCAAGGATTTTTATGTAAGGGGTTCAAACGAGAGTTCTAGCCAGTTACCAGAAAACAGCATGGGGAGAATGTTCCCTAGGTTAAGTTTGAATTTTTCCAGAGCCAATTAAGTTTCTTGAGCTTTAGCGAAAAATACGATTTTCAACCTATTAAAGCCAAATCTGTGTCTTCAAATGCTCAAATTTCTTGCGCAAAAATGTTACTCTTCTGGACCAAAAAATCGCCAGGCTACACTTACATGGTAATGAACATGCGTCGCTGCAATTTTGCGACCACACCCTCCCGAGCCACCCCACCCACCCTTAAATCTGCCATAGTCCACTACACTGATTTAATTAGTGATGTGTTGATCTCTTTCTTCTTAAAATGATTACTCTTCCTGGTCTAAGAAGTAAAAGTATGGTAATCTTAGACTAACCGCGATAAATAACAAGCAAACAAACAAACAGTCTAGAAACCTCGCGCATACAAATGTAACTGGAAGAAAAGAGGCTGGGATTTTCACCTTGTGTTCTTTCGGAAATGTTAGATGAAGAAGCGAGCTTCTTCGTGGCAAGCAGAATGTCTCTCTCGAATAAATTTTCATCCACTAATGCTCCTATATCTTCCACCCGAGTGACTGCAAAAACACGAAGCATGTTGTTTGACTAAATTCATATAGAATATTGTCTTAGATTTGCTTTAAAAGTAACTCTATGAACTCCTTAATATTTGATCTCAAGGGAAAACCAAGCTGTGCATTTTCAAATTTTAGGGTATCATCTGGATAGCTTGTAAATTATGATTGTTTAATGATATTTCCATAGAGAAGTTGGTTCGTTGCTGTACAGTTGAGTGCACTGGTGGGGAACTTCGATATATTATTTGGTCAGTTATGTATCACGCACAATTTACTCAGGAAAAAATCGAAATCTCAGGGTTTTTACGAATTAAAAAAAATTTTCGAGTCACAAATATTTTACTGTAGGTAAATGATTGTGAACACGCGGGATTTGCGCCTGAAATATTGTAGTCGTTGCGGGAATAAATGGGCTAAAACCATCTTTTTGTGCTACATAATATCACTGTTTAAGTATAACTTAAAGCACCCATTCATAATGGTAATAGGACTAAGTCGAGTCTAATTCGGTCTGAGTCATACGAGTGATTAACAAATTCGGACGATAGTGAAGCGAGAATCTGGTTTGTTAATCACGAGTATGATTACAGACAGAATTGGACGACACGAAGTCCTGTTAGCAATTAATCATAACCGTTACTATTTCAGAAAAAAAATCTTAAACAAACATCTCTGGTAGAGACAATGTCTAAAGTAACATATTCCTCCATTTTTTAAATTCCCCATTTTTTTCCTCTTTTTTTAGGATAAGTGGTTACTGCTATGGTCATAATGATCAATTCTATGATTGGTGGATTTAGCTGAGTGTACTTAGTCTGATTGGCTGCTTCAACTGTCCGATTACAGGTGTCCAATTAAAGCCAATTGTCTGATTACACTGTCTGATTACAACAGTACACAATAATTAGTAATAAATAAAGCAGCTAATGCACCAATCACATTTGAAGAAATTGTAATGGTTCTGATAAATCTCAGTACCTGTGGCTAACTGTCAATATTTACCTCACTGCTTCGCAGCTCGGTAGATATCCATCACTAACCACCTTCACTTCGGTAAATAGTTAATTAACACGCAAGTTTTGATACAGTAAACTAAAAGCACTATCAAAACTATTTTTTCTCATATTAGAATCCGCGGGCGTAGCCAGTCTATAGACCTGTAGGCCCAGGCCTACCATTTTTCCCCGCCGTTTGACTTAAATGATGTAACTCTTATAAATTTTGAAACAAAAATTTAACTTTCTTTGGCTATAGGCCCGCAGCAAGTCGAAAATCTGGCAAAGCCCCTGGAATCATTCACCGCCATTGCCTGTTCGCTCTCTGATCTCTTGAACACCTGCTCTTAACTTCTTCGAAATCCAGTTCATTGCGAAGTTGCTAAAGAAACGTTCATTGAAAATGAGACGTTGAAACTGAAATCAAAGGACGAGGGAAAACAGTTGTATGACTCTATTGCGTAATAAAGAGGGCTTGAGCGCGCGCTTCCTTCTCGCTTGTTGTTCGACGAATGGTATTTCAGAATGGTATTCATATGACACGTTGCTATATGAGGAATTAAAGCTTTGTGGCTTTTTGTACCATGGAAATCTTGTCAAGTTTTCAATCGTCAAATAAGGAAACAGACAAAAACATTAAAATATTTTTCTGACGTTTTGCGAATCGGCCATTTAGGGCAATGTGGACGATTGCAGACCTATGTTTCTTTTCGCGCCATCCGTACTTCTCTACCCCAGTTTTCTCGCGACTTTCTTCCGCGAAGCAAGTATTCAACAGAGAGAATGTTTTAGTGATTTTGGTCTCTTTGCTTTCTTCTTTGCCTATAATGTGCTTGTTTCTTTAAAGATGAGCTATTCATACGACGATTCTCGTGCCCTAAACTTGTGGCAGAGAGTACATTTCAATACAGATTCGTCAAATGATGCTTCTTCCAGAGCGGACGCCTGGCGGAGATTGCTAGTTCAACTTCAAACTTTTCGGAGGAGGTTGGCTACCACTTTTAATTACACCAAACTTAAATCTCTCTAAAGTGAAAAAGTGAACCGTACTCCTAGCTTCTTTCCCTTAATGATCAGTTCCTTTGATTGTAGTCCTGTTAATTGTGTGACCAAGTCTGACGGAAAACTAAGCAATATTTGAACTTCTGAACAGACAGGATCTAAGATTTGAGCTAAAATATTCTGCAGATCCATGATCTTTGGCTTATTTAAAATTCATTTAATTCCTTTATACAGGTGCGTTTCAAGGCTGAATCTACTAATTTTTCAAACCTTTTAACTACCCTCTCTTTGCTAAGTTTAGATGTAAGTCTCTGATCTTGAATTTTTCTGAAAAAATGGTTGACTGATTTTTGTTTTATTTGTAGTAAAAAAGTATCATGCCAACTTTACACAAGGATGTTAGAGAAGTTTGCAGGGAATTATTCTCAAATTGTAGACAACCAAAACCCTGACAAAGGTACCAAAAGATATTGTAATAATTCTTGTCATAATTGTTAGTTTCTTGATCACCTTGTGCCTATTGGAGCACTCTAAATACATACACAAGTAGGGTAACTATAATGTAAACTCTCAAAGATTCACACTGAGGGGAGAAAACTGTTTATCTATTTGCAAAGCACTGCAGAGGACACTTTGAACTTATTCTAACAACTAAGTCCAATTGAGTTGTACAGAGGGAAATTAACATCTTGTACCTCTTGATTCCAAATCTGGTGTAGCAAACTACTTGGCCAAAGTCCTCTTGTCATATGAAAGCTTGTGCCTGTGGAGTTGTCTCCATCCTCTTTGGATTAATGGTACTGAGCTTTGAGATATCCAGGGGGAAACCTATTTTTTTGTTATACTAACAAAATTTTGTTTATGTAAACAGAATGGCTAGAGATAGTGATAATATATTAGGTGTAACTGAACAACTATTGTCAATTTTGTTTATAATAATTAATGATAACCTTAATAGTGGTTGATAAAATGAATCTTGCAATAAGACAACCAAATGACAGCTCCAATTCAATGCTTCTGCGTAGAATTAGAATTTGGAGTGAATATTTTATGTTAGGAGTGCTGTAACATGGAGGAGATGTAAAGAAAATCAAAATTGACCGTGAGCTAAGATGGAGAAATTGAACCATAAGTTTGGGAGGAGGCAGCGGGAGAAGTAATGATGTATTGGTTAGTGCTGGGCTCTGGGTTAAGAGATGTAGGTTTGATGCCTGGCTGGGTCATTTTTCTGCATTCTTTGGGCAAAACACTTTTCTGTCACAGTATCTCCCTCAACCCAGGAGTCCAGATGAGTAACTTGTTCTGGAAGCTGGATCAAATACTGAGGGGTAATATTGCAATGGATTGGCATCCAATCTAAGGGTGAAGTATTAATAATACTCCTAAGAATTTGTATTAATGCTTTAACCCCCTCTAGGAGTGACTGGTATCTAAATTCTCTTTGCAATATTACCACTGAATCACACATTAAGGTCATGAGAATAAAGGAAATGATCACCAACAAAGGAAGCTTTGGATCGGTAAAGAAATTCTCCTAGTCAGCACCTTAGGAAATGTATAAAGAACAGTATGGAGAATATACATACTGATGTTAATACTATCCTATGGAAACTGAGATAAGCAGAATGGGCCACTTGGCTTCAGACACACTTTACCTTTTAGTAGTTTGGTATGAGGCAAGTATTCTGAGCACTGCATCCAGCCCTTCAGCTCCATCATTTACATTGTAAAATAACTTATTCATTGATGTGTACAAAATTACATCCTTTTCAGAAAGTTGAATCATGAATTTTTGTATTAAATTTAACCTTTTCTCATTGGTCCATAATGCTTCAAGTTCATAAGACAGATGCTTTACTTAAATGGTCAGATTCAAATTGTCTTGACTATTTTAAAATTATGTTTTGACAGTCAGTTTCCTTTCTTAGGCTTGAACAATTTTGCTGAAGCTGTGTTAACTCTTGCTTCTAGCCATCGTAATGGTAAGTTTTTAACAACACTGGGTTACAAAGACAGTTAAGTAGATTGCAGTGAGATAGTAAATGTGTACACTTGACTGGTGGAAAGTTTCTTTTTAATGTTATATTGTTTTTGAATGTATTTATCAGAAAGTTCTTAAGCAAGTACACACGTTTTGAAGCTGTTGCCAGAACTACTTTGAAGATGAATTTTGGTCTGACATGTCCTGGTCATGTCTACTTTTCACTGATTTCACTTTCACACACAAATTATACTCAGCTGAGTACCCTATATTTCTAAGGCATATGCATCCTGCTTTAATTGCCATCTGTAATGATATGATAATTATTTTTTGTAGAGAGTCAGGATTGGACCTCAAGTTTATCTCTGGATAGTTTGAAAAAGCTGCCTATTTACAAATCTCTCATGGTAGGCGTGGTGAATAGCATCAGTTATTATGCAGAAATACTCTTTTTCTCCGTCTGAGCCTTCACCTCCCCCAAGGGTTAGAGTAGAATTTCCACTGAAATGCCTAGTTACCCCTGTGTTCTAAGGACTCACAACCTGTTCTTCTCAGATAGAAAAATTCATGAGAATGACATTAGTGTCCTTGCTACCCACAATCATCTTATCTATTACAACAATTTAGACACAGTGAAATCTGTGTGCAGAATTTTTCCTTTTCATATGAATTTTATATTAACAGGTTATGTAAGCAATCTATATTTATTTAGTTTACTGGTAGTTTACAAACAAGGACATTTTGGCTATGACTACACTGTCTGTGCCAAAAAGATTCATAGATGACAAACCTCACCAGTTGCTTTCCAAAAGGGAAAACCCTCTAGGTGACACAAGCACTGTTTATGGGTGGAGCTGTGGGTGAGGTCCAATAAGGCATTGCAAAATGATTTATGGGATCTTTGCGGCCATGAATACATCCCTATCATAATTTGGATTGTTACTTCATAATTTATACACATGGAATTTTTTATAATGTACAACATAATGAATCAAGATTAATGATTTGCATAAATGTTTTTCATCCCTCAAGCACAGTCACATGCTTACTTTTGTCAAAACCATTACAATTTCCTCAAAGGCAATTGGTGCATTAGCAGCTTCATTTTTCACTAATTAATCTGTACAGTTGTAATCGGACAATGTAATCAGACAGTTGGTTGTAACTGGACCCCTGTAATCAGACAGTAGAAGCAGCCAGTCATACTCAGTCCACTCAGCAAAATCTACTACATAGAATTGATCACCATAACCATAGCAACAACCACTTATCCTAAGAAAAACTGGGAAATTTCCAAAATGGAGGAATTTTAACTCAAGACATTGTCTCCACAGGAGATAATTGTTCTAGATGTAATTGTTTTTTGGAAAATTGTAATGGTTATGATTAACTGGTAACACTTTGTGTCATCCAATTCTGTCTGTAATAATACAAGTGACTAACAAATCAGACCCTCGTGATCACTTGAATGATTACAGACCAAATTGAACTCCACTTGGTCCTAATATCATTATATATTTTCACAAATGATAATTGAGGACTCATTTGATAACAGGACACTAAAAGAGAACTTCTGGATGAGGAGCCAGTGCAAGCACCTGGTGCTACTTGTACTAATTCATCATCACATGATGATCAGCTGCACAAGATTAACTTGAATCGCCCCTCAGCTAGTGCACCAAGTCTTAGTAAAAGCCTGCAAGCAAACAGAGTAAAAACCTGTGGACAAGATTTTTCAAGTGAAGTTTTCTCATCAAAAAATACTGGGATGGAAAGCCAAAGAGTTATGTCAATATGTGAAGACTCTAGTAGGAAGGTGTGTGTAGCAGGTTTTTTTTTTTTTTTTTTACCCCATTGTAATTTTTGTTCCAAGCAATTTCATCCAGGGACGTAGCCTTTTGCAAGGGTTTATGTATATTTGCTTCATGAACTTCCCAAAATATTTTAAAACATTCAATAGACCCTTTATCTCCCATGTGCGACCAAGACAGAAGTTCTCCTTACAATATCTGATTCAATACACTATCAAGCAGGCAAATGGTGATATTAATTTGGGGATTACTAGTTGATCCAATAACAAATTATCCAATCTAACTTTATAAGTACTGTATGGCAGACAGGAAGGAGACTTTTAAAATAAGGAGATCTTGGGAATGAAGGGATTAAGTGAATTCCTCCAGAGATCTGTAACAGCACTGTAAAGTTGGGTTAATTTAAAATAAACTAAACCTCACCAAATCACTTCTGAACTTCACTGAAGTTTCCAATTTGAAGTTCATTTTTCTTAGTATGCATGAAAATAAAATGTTTTGACTAGGCCCATGGAAAACTAAAAGGCTTTTGAAAAATGGGATTCCTCCATCAAATGTTACTCATAAAAATAACAGTGGAACATTAAATTGAGACAAATTCTCTACAGAGCCGAACTGGAACAGAGCTGAAACATCATATACCAAATTTGTTGTGTTCTGATTGTCTTTCAGGTAGCAGTGCACATAAAAATGTCCTTTATTAGAAATTGGTATAATCAACCAGTGAATTACACAAATCTTATGAGTGATGCACTGCATGTAGAGCCACCTTAATGATCATCTTTGGCAGGCAACTCTTTGGGCAGGTTAATTCACTGAAGTATTTTTTCAGGAAATGAGGACAGAAGATTCAAATAAGTTACCACATGGTTTAACAGGACACTGTGGAATGAAAAGGAAGGCCACAGCTCCATGTATGAATAAGTAGTCATGATACACTGTTAGTAGCTTCTGAGATTTTAAAAACTGATTCATTAATTTCTGTTATTGGTATTTGTGGAATTAACATTATTCATATATGGACACCTAGGGAAAAAATCCAATAAGTTGCACTGGTTAAAATAATCAGCTATGTTATACCAGATTTGAAGTACAAGCACCCGTTGTCAATTGACACTCCTTTAGATAAGCATGCTCTTACTCTTATATAATTATAACTCCCACAAGTGATTCACAAGTAACTTCTCCCTACAATATCCATAGACTATCCAGCAAACAGGTAATGAGAATACTCAAATGTATCAGGCTGAAGTTGTTATCTTGATCTAACACCAAATTCTCTTAACTTATTTACAAGAAAAAGTGTAGCAGCTAGAGGGGAGAATTAACAATCAGATCTTGGAAGTTGATGGGGTTAACTCCCAGAAGTGATTAACATGTAACTTCTCCCCATAATATTAATACATTATCCAGCAAACAAGTAACAAGAATACTTAAACTTATATATCAAGTGGCAGTTAAACATCAAATTCTCACAAGTAATTAACAAGGAAAGATGTAGCAGCTAGAGGGGAGAATTAACAGTCAGATCTTGGGAGTTAAAGGGTTACCTTGATTCAAAACCAAAGTCAAAACATCAACCCATCAGAGTGAAAGTAAAATTTATGCTGCAGGGAGTCAAAGGTAAATCAGTACAAATTCATGTAAAAAGGGACAGCATTGGGACCATAAAATAACTGTTGCAATTGGATTTGGTCAATGTTTCTGTGTTACTTTTCAGAACTAATCTTTACTGTGAGGTGGAGTTTTGAGGCTAAACCAGAGAAGCTTCAGATTTCTTGCAACATTCAGTCAAAACTGCTCTGAAAATCCATGATTTTTCACTATTTAGGTGGTGATGGGATATACCAAGTTCATGGTCCCCAAAATTCCACACAAAGGTTGTATCCAGATGGAGCATCCAGCATGAAAGATTCAGCAACATCATCAACAAATAACAGTCACCCTGCTACACATGCCAGTAACTTTAATTTTTATCAAGTATGTGCTGATGACCATCTATAAAGCTAGAAATAGTTACAGAATCAATGTCTGTTGTTTATCTCTTATCTTTTTTTTCTCATAAACAGCTTTCCTTTCAGGCTCAGTATTAATTTTGAGATTTTTTATCTGGTCCTTGGCAGTTGTTCAAATGGTGAAAAACTATCCAATGGATAAATCGCTATCTGTGGATGAATTTTAACTGCACTATCCACTGGCTGGAGATTAATCCAGTGGATGGCATTATCCACCCCTCAAACAATTGGAGCCTGTCTTTTAGCATAGTAAATTATCTAAAAGGCATGTCAATGATCCAGTTTCTCCTTCACCTTTACCAAGCAGTTGTTGAGGATGTTGCAGGTTATACATTTATTATTTTAATATAATTTCAAGTTGGGCCAGAACCACACCATTTATGATGAATCAAATCAAACTGATTACTTTTGACTGAGGCTCTTATTTTCCTTCTCAGGGTTCTGATAAAAAATATTCCAGAAATGCCTCAGACAACCAGCACAATTCTGATGATAGTGAGCAAGAAAGCAAAGCATCTTCCTATTTCATCACTGCAAAACAAAAATTGGTAAGTTCAACCATTCACCACTAGTCAGTAGTTTGGACAGAACAAAGCAAAAATTTTGTTTCAATTCTTGTTATAGATGAGTTAACTGGGCACATCTTTTGTACATGATCAATTATTTGGTATACAACCTTTGTTTTATTAGGTTCCTGGCTTAATCCACATATTGTTTAAAGGTTATACATGTTTCTTTCAGAACAGTCTTAACCCTTTCATTCCCAAGATGTTGATAGTAATTCTCCAAACTGTCTGTTTTACAGTTCTTATAATGTTACTTTGGAGAACTGAGTAGTGGATCAATTAAAAATCCCCCAATTGATATTCTTCTTTATTCTCATCACTTGTCAGCATGATGTTGCTTTGATATTGTAAGGAGAAATTCTCTCTCATAACCATGCACAATTCTCTGGCAAAATTTCAATGGCTTATAATGCTGCTCTTTAATACAGAAGTGAGCCCAGTTGTTTCAAGTCAGATTAGCACTAACCCAGGGTTAAACTTTAATCCAGGTTCCTTTATTCCTTTGTTCAAAAGCCTTTTTCAGATAATTTTTGTTCTGTTCCTTTTAGGGCATCCAATCATGAAACTGTGGTCAAAACAAATTCTACTGAATTTCCTCTTAAAGCTTTCAAATCTGAAATCATATTTCACGTTAACTCTGAGTTATTGTAACCCAGCTTGGAAATACCTGGCTGTGGAGAATATTCTTCCAAAAGTTTGAACTATTTCTCTTATTGCTAAATTTTGTAGTGAGCATCCTGTAAAAGCAATTGTTTTTTGGTAAACCTGATGGAATGGTTTCCATAAAAAGATAAAATCAAATTATCTTGTTTTAGCCTCAACTAACACAGCACCACAGTTTCTTTAGAAACTTTCCCCCTTTATAGCCTATAAAGGTGGTACAATGGTGGGAGTATTAGACAGCAATCTAAGTAGATGTGGATCCAGCTGCACTTGGGTAATTTTGTGGTGTTCTTGGTTAAGACACTTACCTCTCATAGTGCTTTTCCATCCATGATTACATCATCCATCCACACATTGGCAATTGGGAAGTGGAAGGGGGGTGGGGAAGGATGACAAAATATTTTATGGGATGTGTAATACTGTGATAGAGTAAAATCTCAATCAGGAAAAGGAGTGGTACAAGTACTCCTAGTTCCTAAACCCTTTGCCCCCTAAGAGTGTTTGGCTTCTAAATTCTCCTTACAATATTACCCTTTAATCATATATAAAGGTCATGAGAATAAAGGAAATGATCACCAGTTTTAGAAGCTCACAGTTTCCAAAACAATGCTCCTTGTCCGGACCATGTGAAATTTAAAGCAAACAGTGTGGAGGAAATGAATACTATTGTTTGGATGTAAAGGTTTAAGGCAAATCATGATAAGCTCTAGTAGCATTGGCCTCATAACTGGTGTGCAAGAACCCCTTTATCAGAGAAACTAAAACATTTTTAACATGAAATAACAACTTTGATTATTGGGAAAACTGATATATGTCTGCATCGGTCAAACTATGACAAGGTCTTGGCCCTCTGATATCTGTTTTTATAACAGTGGCTCAGATGAAGAGATAACATTAAAACTAATTTTAGGGTAAAAAAAAAAACAAAACAAGTATCGATCTTGTTCCTGTCAGGTTCTGGATTCTAAAAAGAACTCCCATCAAGATGGATCTTCGAGACAGGGGAGCATAAGTAACTCAATGTACGGAAGTACGAGAAAAACACTGGGAACTAGGTTTGTTGGATCTTAAAACTTTTTGTTTAGGAAATAATTGATCAAGTGTTCGTCATTTTTTTTTCTACACGCAATCAATCACTGAACTAATGCAGCTTTGTTACAATGGAAATCTCTTATTTAGAAAAAGGTGTTTGTAGCGAATGCACCGGCAAATTTCAAAACGGTTACACGAACCATACGATTTATTCGTAACCAGTGGTTTCTGAAACATGATTAAATTAAATTACACTACAGCCAACTACCGACAACAATAATTACGATCACAAAGCGAAGCATCAAACGGCAAAAGACAACACAAAACGTACCTGACGGTTTGGATAGAAGGAGTACACGAGATGCAGCAAGGAAACGATCATAGCACGGCAAACTGCATAACATTACTGTTCTTTTCGAGCGAAAATTTCGATATATATATATATACGGACGCGAAGGGACTGAAGCCTAATTTTCAGATAAACCGCTGGCCCTTAAATTTGTTGCAACAGTGTTGAAGACAGCTTTGAATCAGAAGTTATCTTGATATAAGTCTAAATTCTGGTACATGATTTGTGTAAGAAACTTTTATCTTGGGAGTTAATAAATGCTTATGCATCTATACGACTACTCACTGGTCATAATGCTGATTCTTCTGGAGTATAAATTTGTCAGGTCACCATGAAAAAATGATAAGCATGAAAAACAAGCCAACAAACAAAATCACCAAACAGGATGAACGTTCAGGTCATGTAGACCAAGAGTATGGTGACAATGGCCAATGATCAAGTGAAAACTACTTTCCGCAACCTGTACTTTATGAAATATGATCACATATGAAGAAGATTTTATCAAAATGTTACACGCATTAAACAGTAGATATTGACATCAGTGTTTTGTTTCAGGCGAGGTCCAAGCAGACAATTCATCCCTCCAGTTTTGAATCGAGATGATGATGATGAATTGCAGAGGTTAGTAACTTTGTTGGCTAAGTTATCCCAAGTAGTAATTGACGAAAGGTCGAGGCACTCGGCAAGTGAGAAGACAATGCGATAAAGCTTTTATTTACACCTTGCTGTGGTCCTGTTTATACTCCTTCTTTTCATTCTACAGAAGACTTCGACTTCTTTTCTTTTACAGAAGACTTCGACTTCTTTTCTTTTACAGAAGACTTCGACTTCTTTTCTTTTACAGAGGACTTCGACTTCTTTTCTTTTACAGAAGACTTCGAGAAGAACCTCCTCGAGAAGGACTCGAGGGGAAACAAAACTAACTAGTTTCCCGAGGGACCATACATTAACTGCTTTGTTATATATTCAGACTTTCCCTTAAACAATCATATGGCAAAAATATGCTGTTGTATTCGGCGAGCAGGTAACAACTGCGCAATTGTATCCCGGTCAGGATACATTTGAATTTGATCAAGGGCACGTGACCGAGAATCAACCAATCACAGTGCTTGTTCTGTTGAATGAAAGTCTAGGTAGATAACAAATTGAGTTAATGCCTTCTTACACTTCCTACATTTTTTAATTAAAGTGAAATACTCTTCTTAATTTTTCCAGTGGTACTGCTATGGCTGGTTATTCGAATCACAGTGGCAAGAATCAAAGTGGTAAAGTTGCCGGCGCTGATCCAGAAGTTGATGAAAGACTGAAAAATATTGAGCCAAAAATGATAGAACTTATTACTAACGAGGTAAGATCACAAGAGGAGTTATGGTCTGTTATACACATATTGGAATCGCCGGATCGAAGTGCCCTTGCACATACAGAAAGTTGTGTTTTCTGCACGTGTTTGTTGTTGCCCACAGTTTTATTTAAAGTATGCTCTACAATGCTGATTACCAAAGAGTCCGATGGCTTCACCGCTTAACTTGCGATCAGGTAGAACGTCAGCTTTCATAGGGAATTTTTTATAGCCTACAATAAGATGAGAAGACAGAAAAAAAAACATATCGATCAAGTTGGTTTTCATGAATCAATTTGATTTGTTGTTTTTCATGTTTTGTTTTCAGATCATGGATCACGGCCCACCATTGTCTTGGGATGATATTGCAGGACTTGAATTTGCTAAGAATGTTATCAAGGAGATTGTTGTATGGCCCATGCTGAGACCGTGAGTGAATCAAAATGTTTTCGCGCCCCACGTTCTTATGCAGCTAAGCAGAATGATATTGTCATTGTTGTCTGCAAATCATCAAGGCCTGGTGGTCTCACAGCAGTGTAACTGAATGGTGTTATAGCTCTATGCCAACGGTCTTACTTGTTTTCCGTTGCGTGTTTACCGTTGTTGTGTACAAAGTATTTGGTAGTAAAACAGCGCTGTGCTAGTGTGATGTGAATTAAATTCTGAGATTGAATTGCAGCCTCTAACAACGGTTTGTTGGAAGAAAACGATTCTTTTGATGTAACAGTGAGAGATCTTAATAGGACCTGACTTGAGCTTGCAACGGACAACGTTTTCAAACGCTACCCAGTAATTCTTTCTTTTGTTCTCCTTTTGAATACACATTGCTCACCACGAGCTACTTCATTTTAGTTATGGTGTAAATATTTTTATGCTTTTCAATTTTCCCATTCAAGTAAACAAATGACGAGGGCCGTATTTTGGAAACAATTCTGAAAGCGACTTCAAAAGATCAAATGAAGATCGAGAAGTGGTTTTCAGTGTGAACTGTTTCCAAGGTCAAAAAAATTAAGAGACGTGTATTTTTATTTTTCGGTTTAGTGACATTTTCAAGGGCCTACGTGGTCCACCGAAGGGAATCTTACTCTTTGGACCTCCAGGAACTGGTAAAACGTTAATCGGTAGGTATGATTTGTTTGTCTTTTCTGCGGCATGTCTGCCACTTTTTTTTGTCACTAAATTTTGCTGTTATCAACTATCTTTCACTTAAAAAGATAGTTTGAATCATGTTTGTATAATCATGTTTGTGTCCATCAAAGACAGCTCTCACTCTCCATCTTATCTATCTCTAATCCCTCCTGTTCCCTTGTTCCACACCTTTATCTTCGCTGTCTGCCCCTCAGCCGTATGTGCAGTTATGTGATGCTGTTTTCATTTGCTGTGAATGGAGATTTTTTTGTATTTTTCTGTTGGATGAAAGCATGGATGGGAAGAAAAGTAAACAAAGGTGGATTTGACGTTCGCGTTTGACGTAAACATCGATACACCTAAATATGTAAATTAGAGAGACCCACGGTATTTTGAAAAATACTGATTTACTAATGTGAAGATTATTTGAACTCTGAGCCGTGTGAAAATACTCACATTTTAATTGTCTTACACCCAGAAAAGTATTTTTAATTCTTTTTTGTCTTACTGATTTCATATCCTAATGTAAGCAATGGCTTGAAACTTCGTTTGTGTCTTAAGACTGAAATTTTCCCGTAATGGTCGAAAGAGTATAAGTTTAATGATGGTGGGTAACGCTTTAGTTAGTAACTAGAGGTGTATATTTATTTCAGGTAAATGTATAGCAAGTCAATCAAAGGCTACTTTCTTTAGTATCAGCGCTTCGTCCCTCACGTCAAAGTGGGTAAGTTGGTACATGAACAGGGGACGAAACTGGCTACAACAAATCCGTTGTTTTTCATTGACCCCAAAGAGGTCATTTAATGGCTTTGGGAAGGAGCTGCGGTTTGATTCTCTTGAAAAAAGGTTGTCCACGATGTTTAAGTTTATCCTTGTCGATCTGATGAATTCTTAACAATCCCAAGCTATCATTACTTTTTTTCGATATATAATTGCACTAATATTTTATAGTCCTGGTTAAGGTAATTTTACATCACGAACTGACAAACTAAGAAGAGACCCAAAAGTTAGGATATGTTGTACTATGTTCTTGCTTGACGGTGTCAGATCGTGCGTATACCGTTATATCGTTGTTGTTTGTTTGTTTTGTAGGTTGGTGAGGGTGAAAAAATGGTTCGTGCATTGTTTGCTGTTGCCAGATGTCATCTGCCTGCTGTGATTTTCATCGACGAAATAGATTCGCTGTTGTCGCAAAGAACAGATGGAGAGCACGATGCCTCCAGGAGAATCAAAACTGAATTTCTAGTGCAGCTAGTAAGTAATGTAGCGCTGGAAATGCTAAATGACTCGACTCTGATGATGACTTCCGACAAACGGACTGCTCTCAACCGGACGATCAGACCAAACGATGAAACTAAGCAGATTGTTTTTAGTTGTTTGGCTGGGTTATTGCATTTCTTTCCTGGGCAGGGATTTTTGCTTTCTTGCTGCCTTTCTCCGCCCAGAGTATAAAATGTGTGCTTGCGAACTGTCGGGTTACTTGGACAAAATGTCAGATACCGGGGTAACCTACGATGGATTTTTTTTTCAACTTAGCTAAAAGATGATTCCCCACATTCTGACTTCAATTCCGCCACGAGAAACCAGAATCACCTGATACATTTTGAGCTATATTCACATGAAAAGAATGATAGTTTTGAGAGGCTGCAGTATTGCTTTGATAATATTTATTATCCAAAATAAAGCGTGTTACTATACAGTATAGAAGATATATGGGAAAATAGCTAAGCCAAACCTCGACAACTCGTGCTTCTTCTTATATTCTGCTAAATTGCTGTTTTTAGTCTTGAACGGAAGGTGAACCTTTTATTTGGCTGTAATGCTGTCGTCGGTTTAGAGTGTAATACAATAGTGGCTGGTTTTGATTTTCTGTTAGGATGGGGCAACAACCACTTCAGATGAGAGAATTTTGGTGGTTGGCGCCACGAACAGGTCAGCTAATGATAAAAAGCTTTTGTTGTAGTAGTAGCAGGTGTTCCTTGGCACAAAGAGTAAGGTACAACCCTTATGGTACTCTTTACTGGCACGGAATGCTCACCTATCACGCATGGGTAACTTGCAATGTACTGGCATTCCCTCTGCAATGAGATTTAATGCCCCTGATTTCTTCTGGGATAAGAGAATTTGAAGAAAGATGCTTCGTTTTTGTTGCTACAGTATGTCAGGAGAAACCCGAGTTAAATACACTGTATACTACTGATTAATATTTTTATCAAACTGTTTTAAGTACAAGAGAAGGGGAGAGCAAGGAAACAATATCTTATTTCTATTGCTTTACCAAGGCCTCAAGAGATTGACGAAGCAGCCAGACGTCGTTTAGTAAAAAGACTTTACATTCCTCTCCCCGATGCTGGTGCACGTGAACAAATCATGTACAGTCTTCTGTCGCAACAGAAATGCAGTCTGTCTCAAGAAGACGTCAACACAATAGTTCAGCATACACATGGTATGTAATACAAGGGTATTTTGTCTCATAAAATGCTGTGTAAACTCGTGTCTTGGGAAAACTTGCGAAGTCCAATCTCAGTTTCTTTCCGGGACGTCTAAAATCAGAGAATTTTAGTGTTTTGGAGGAAATACTTTAAACTCGATTCATAGGGGATGTTTTGAGATAAAAGAAGTAAGAGATACCTGGAACAAAAGAAACACGTCATAGTATATCAAAATAACGATTCTATTTTGGTCTGTGTTGAGGTAAACTGGACTTCAAGTTACCCGGACATAAAGGACCTTTTGCAGTCAGGACGACAACGCCAAGGAAAACGTCTATTTAAAAAAAAATTTCTCGTTAGAATCTTGCGAATTACTGAATTAGTCCACCATCTCTTACGACGCCACAAGTTATCTTAGCACAAAGTATGAGAGCCGCGTGGAGTGGAAAACTTAAACAATTTGCCGCCGGGTTCCCCTTTTGATACCACGCAAATTTTATAATTTCACGTTGTTATTTTGCAGAGAAAAGCTAAGAAATGTACACAGTTTTAAAGCGCACGTGCTGAGTTATTGTTCTGCTCATTAGATCTGTTGTTTTGCCATGTCCTCGTTGCTTTCGCCAAAGGTTCCTATTGTAGATGAGAGACAACCTAAATGCTCGAAAGTGTACGAAATCAGCTGTCTTCTCGTCCGCACCTCTGTAGATAGTCATTTTACATCCAGGAAGGAATCCATGTCTCTACTGATCTCTAGTTCTTATGATGCGCTTTTTTTTTTTAGGATATTCAGGCTCAGATATGGCGAATCTTTGTCGAGAAGCTGCTCTTGGGCCAATCAGAAGTATCACTGATATTCAGTGTATTGACGCTGATCAGGTATGAATTAAACCTTCGTCAGTTTTGACACGAATGGTGCCCTGTCAAATCTTACACCACCCCTCTAGTTCTTGCATCGCATTTTACAGAGCGTACAGTCATTTCATTTATACGAAGTCATCACTAGCTCATGCACACGCGCAGTATAGGCTACACAGCGATAGGCAACGAATGATTTTAAACATGTGTTACGAGCTTGGAATGAAGAACAATCTGAGTCCTCCAAGAGGATTCGAATCCTAACCATATTTGAACTATATTTCAAGTTTGTTGGTTAAATTGTCCACCTTAAGGGCGATAGAGAACTTGATCATTTGACAAGCCTCCCGCATATTGCTATAATCAGCTATCGATGAATGTCTGAAATGAAGTTTTACTCCGTTCATGAACAAAAGACAAATTCAATGGTTAAATCTGAATGGAATCATTTGCGCTGGGCCGTTTTTGTCTTCCTTAACAATAAGCGAACTACAGCTCTCTGTACAGATGTTGAATCTATTTGTAAAACGGAGGACTCGATGATCTTTAAGATTGCCAACAAACCTACATACCCTGCTTTCTTAACCCTTAAACTTCCAGATCAAATTTGTAATTCTCCTTACTGTCAACCATGCAGTTCTTATAATGTCAGTTCAGAGAATTTAGTATTGGATCAACTAATTATCCCCAAATTGATATTTTTCTTTATTCTCATAAATTATCTGGACGATATTGTATTGATATTGTAAGGAGAAATTCTGTCTTGGTCACTCATGGAAGGTAAAGGGTTAAGGTAATTCTTACTTCCGTTGAATTACATCAAGTAAATGTAATCTATTGATTCCAGGTTCGACCGATTCTGTTCAAAGATTTTGACGAGGCTTTGCATCAAGTACGCGCGAGTGTTTCCGAGAAAGATCTCGACTTATACATTCAGTGGAATAAACTGTATGGCAGTGGAACGAAATAAAACACTCGGGAGTTGTTCTTGTTCCACACAGGTTCACGCTGGAATGAAGTGAAATTAAATTGACAGATTCAAAATTATTTTGACACTTTTTTGTGGAAATTTTGCTTGTTATTACCAGTAAGGGTTGTTAAACTGTTTCACGTTAAGCTTGTAAGATTTAGTTGTTATAGCGTTGGTCCTTACAGTTTAGGTCGTGACATTCCTATCGCAGTACATTACTTTTTGTGGACAAGAAAATCGACTCAGCCTTGACCATTATAATTATTTTTTACTAAAGAGAGGCATTTAAAAAAACTTATTGGTTATCTGAGTGCTGTCTTTTGTGACAAAGGAATGGCTTTTGTTTAAGTGGAGTATTGTTAACGCAGTGTAGACAAACAGGAACTGCGATGCCATTTTTACGATCAACAGAAATTTTACAGATTCTCAAAATTGTACGAGGCATTGTGAATCGGACCTAGAGCAGGCGCAAAGTTTTTTTCATCTTTAAGGTAGCTTAGAACTCTTCATATGACAAAATAACACTATATAATAATTATATTGCATATCTCTCCATATCGACATACAGAGCATAGTGTTAGGTCCATATTGATAGTGTCTTACAAACTGCTGTAAGCCTGTGGAATGACAAGAGCAACAGTGATACTCACACCGCAATAAAAGGGTACCTCTTTTCTATATATTTTTGGTGAGACTTCCATAATCTTTTTTTTAATTGCGTTTAACTTTGACGAAACCTTCCGCCAAGGTTGTTGAAGCGTCAGTCATTGACTACTCTTACCCGAAAGACCAGACCTCATGAACAACTTCAGATAATTTACCGTTTTTTAAGTTTGACTTTGCGATACAAATGCTATCATGCAATATAAATTTCGTCAGCAAATCGTCTAGGAGACAGGGACAGTTATCAGATGATATCCGTTGCTTCCACTCCTCTTCCACCTCTGATGTATAAATATGAGATCACCATGAGAAGTTGTAACTTAAAGGACGATATTTTGTCTCGTGCAGTACGCCAAGTTTTGGTAACGGTCCCAGAAAGAGTAAAGCTGAAATTATTGTAACTTGGTTTTATGTCTGTGTGAAGTGCACTTCCTTTCATTTATTTCGAAACGTGTGGACACACCGTGAACTTCAGGTTACAAGCCTTGTGCTTATACAACTTCGTAAGGAGCACTAGGAGGTCTTATATTCGAGGGTTGTCATAAATTGCAGTTAACGCTAGCTAGATCGTTTTAATTCTCTCCCAGAATATGAAAGCTTAAACTCTTCCCTTCCAAACCTATACATAGCTGTATACATTTTATCAATCTTCACGATGTCGGTGGTGGTGGTTCTGTATGTGGTGCTAAAAATAAGAGAAGGAAAATCCGGTTGTTGGCAGCTTAAAATCTGTAGGCAACTTAAGATTCCTTTCGTGTTGTTATTTTTCATGCTACGCTGTTTACATTTGTTTACTTGACAAACATGTTGAAGAGAAACCTAGAGATAATGCCTTGTTGATCTGGCCCCGGTTGTTCGAAGGTCGGATAACGCTATCGACAGGATAAATCTCTATCCAGTGGATGAAGAAAAACTCGATGTCAAATTGTGCCATTTTATGCAGTATGATTTTCAGGTTTATATGCTCGACTTATGAATTAAGCTGTTACTCCCCGTGTCTTTTAAAAGCAAGTCACAAATTGAAGTTGATGCAAGTTTCATGCATGACATAAAATCCGCTCCGAGAGAGTTGACTGCTGTATCACAGAACAAACGCGTAAAAACTTTATGTAACGTGAAAGGATTAAATCGTCAACCATCGTCAGCAGGTTGAGCCTGATTTATTTCATAAGAAACTCCTGTTACTATCACCTATTCATAAACATGGTATAACGTGCTAAGTAACGTAATGATCAGCCAAACTTTTCGGCTTGCTGTGTGGTGATTCAATGCTGAAAGAATAACATAGCCTTAGTACTTATAAAGCAAACCAATTTTTAACACGAAAAGGTAAAATTCATTCACTCCTACTGGCAATATTATTCTCACATCGCGCACGTGAAATTTCTTGTTCTTTTCTTCTTTAAAAAAAATGCTCCTTGATACAAACTAATTGAATTTAAAAAGTCAAAGTAGCGTAGCGGTTATAAAAATTCTTAATGAAGGTATTACTCTCGACTTTCCGGCTCCTCCCAGTCGAAGTTGTCACTCGTCAGGGGTGGTACTGAGGAGCTGATAACTGCGAACAACTCCGCGCTTCCTCTTCAAGTTCCAGGCGAAGTACGACACACCCATAACACAGACAGCAGCAAAAACAGCCATAGCGGCAACAAGAGGGGTGAATTGACCTGGAAAAGGATATTTTTCACTATTTGTTAGCAGAAAAGCTCATCCCTTTAAATTTAATTCAAAGTCTTGAATTAGAGAAAGACATGGTGTGGGAAATATCATTGTAACGGGAGAGAGACAGAGACAGAGAGAAATCAAGGCTTATTCAACTGCTGCTAAAAATTCCTTTCCCTTTCATCTACAAGATCTCTCAGTGTCACTAATAATGTCAGATACTTTGTATCTTCGTAGCAAGAAACTTATTTCAAGGAGGAGTTACTCAGCCAAATGGCTTCTCTCATGGTAGCCGATCTTAGTTTCCATGGCATTGATTGACGAGGAGCACTGCCACTTCATCTGAATATGGTCGTAGTCTATACCCAAGATATCTTCTTTTAAACGTTCCCCTAACCATTCCCCGTACTCATGTAAACGTGACTGGAGAGAGGTATGGTGAGTGCAAGATGCTTTTCACAAGAAGCCACCAAAACGACTCAAGGAGGGTTCGAACTAGAGCTTCTCTATATGGAAGTCCAGCGCACTACCCATTAGCGCACGCTATTTCCTGGGCAACCCTTTTTTTCCGCCGAGGTAAAATGAAAAGCTGATCTACCTTATGAAACTTTGAAACTTTGTTTTTATTAGACACTACGGTGCCCTCTAATGCTTTTGTAAAGGAAAACTTACTGCTGTTTTCAATCTCATGCAGTTCGATGTCCACCTGGGACTCTGTTTCATCGCTTTTCTCTGCTCCCCGCATGAAAGGTCCCTGGGCCAATAGATACTCCTCATCGTTCGTTTCCTGAGTGTACAGCGACCTCCTTCGCCTTGAGTTACGCAGACAGCCCTGTGCGCAGCGTGAGTTGGGATCGTCTGCGTCACATACCTTGACCTTGCAGTGCATGTAAACAAACGGATTATTACCCAGGAACTTGAACGCTTCCAGGCTAAACCTTTCCCTTCTTTTATCATTTGATTGCCTGCGCTCCAAGGTGTCGTCTTCGGAACATCTGTAAAGGAAGACATATTGTCAATCTCTTGAAACTGACGCCCTCTGAGGTCTGATGATGAGGTTGCGTGGCAGTGGAGCTTTGAGGAGTGGTCAAACGATATCTCCGGGAAATTCTGCATTTCTGGTTATCTTACTGTCATATAGCTTCTTAGAAATGTTTTGTGCAGGACAGAATTTAGTTATTTTCTAGAGAGCGGCTTTATTACCAAAGCCGTTCAAAACTGAATATTGAAAACGTTTCATATGCGAATGACCTAAAAACAAGAAACGGTATCACCATACATTGCTGAGCTCATGTAAATGTGACAATTGCTTAACTAAGGTAGTAATGCCTTGAATGGTGATCAGCTATTAAGTGAAAGAGTGAGTATTGAAATTGAAATGAGATATTGCACTAAACATGTCAGAACAGCCAGTTACTGCAAAGCGAGGATTAAAGGAACAGAATGATTAATAGGAAAATGTCCCTCTCTTCTCTCAGAGAAGAGTTGAGTTACTCCTTTGAATTCGGCGTTTAGGCTCGTCACATAACCCATATCTCCATGGAGCATGCATGTTACGTTAGGAGCCTGAACGAAGGCTGCATGAGAGGCCAAGTCTAAAGCTATCAGGGGTGAAAAAAAGTGACAACAAGTTATTCATACCCATCTTTGATGAATACGTATTTCAATCCAGGTTTATTGGGATTGGCATCGGGTGTGGCAAAACACGTTTCTGCTAAAATCGCAAGCCGCGAATCCTCTGTGTCCACGCTCACTTGCACGTACAAAATTTTCCTCAACGGCACGGTTACTGGAAAATCTCGCTTTGTGTATTGACGTTCATATGAATCATCTGGGAAAATATTCATCTCCAATACAAACTCTCCCAATCCTTTCTCGGAGAAAACGATTTTTTTGCTCTCCACTTGCAGACCAACGGCGGACACGACTCCCGTATCTGAGTAAGCGCAGGTGAAAGGTATCTCCACTTCACGGACACGAGTGATTATCTGATCATCCTCCACGGGAATCTCCTCCACCGTATTCATGTAAGTCACGAAATCCTCGATGTGGCTTTTTGTTGTACCACATGCTGTCAGGTCCGTCTCAAGAATGTAGCGGTCGCGAGCTGGATTCTCTGTTGCTCCACAGCTTTCATTAGTAAGACGAATATGTTCCACGTCCAGGCCATTAAGAACGCTCTTTGGAATGCTGATGGACATCTCGTTTTGTCCACAAGTAACAATGACCTCTATACAAAATAAACCGGTGTTGCAAAATGTTAATGAAGAGATAAATATAATTCTTTAGGGGCTTAATCTAATGAAATGAGTGGCACTCACCGTCGTCGTCCGACGGGGAAACTAAAAAAGAGAAAAAAAACAATTCATGTCAAAATCTTATTATTTCTTATCTAAACTATATTCTTCCACCGGATGACTACTTTTGAGGCCTTCATTACGCACTACGGCCATCTAAGGAAAACCCGTGTCCGAAAAAATAAGCTTGCACTATATCATCTAGTCCAAACTACACGGTTTTCTATAGCAGTTAACAACTATTCAGCTAAGTAGAGATAAATGATGATAGATGCCATACTAGAACCAAAGCACTGCGCTTATTTCTGTCAATTAACCGCAGAAAGTGGTCAGAAACTAGATTCTTGACTCTCGACTTTGTCTGTTCGGTTGCCGGTTCGGAGGTGAATAGTACTTCCCAATCACCTCCGAGGTGACCAATCAGCGCCCGAAAAAAGCTTTTTCTACCTCTGTGGTACCTGTAAACTAATGGAAATCACGATTTTCTTCCTTATATTGTATGGGATAGTTGGAAATTTCATCGACTACCATGACCATTAGACTGGGGCTTCATCTTTCTTACCTCCTGAAGCTTCGCTCGGACCCTCACCAGATGGACCATCAAAGAGAAATTCAGCCCGATCTCCAAGTGGATCAGCTCGCTCGTCTCTGACAGCATCGGTTCCTATATCTTGATTGTTCATTAAAATCAAAGTGCTCTGTGAGTAAACTCGTGAATTGACACATGATTTTGACACATGATGTTTAATGTTATCTGGTTTAGGGAATTTTGTGGTTGATTGTCATATCTAGAGTACGAGCAGTAGTTCAGCATTCGCTAATGTAGCAAAGAAACAAAGTAACGTTGGGATAAGAAGGCATTACAATTGAAATGATCATGCTATTACATTTGACAAGGTGGATGATGTCATGTGTTTTAAACGTCTATTATTCTTGTTTCTGGTTCAAAAGAAAAGGTTGGAAGTAAATGTGGGTGAAAAGTGAAATGTACTGTCTTTCATTTTAAATATTAGAAAATCAAGGCAATACTGTCTTAATGAAAACATTAACGATTCCCTCTTTATCAAATCAGACAAACTGGAACGAGTTTTGAGTGATATAACTAAGCCAAGCCTGCCACCGTCATTTTGGATCTCCGCCTGGGTAGATTTAAGTCACGTGCTAGGCAACGTATAATCAATAACAAGATAGAATTTCATTTCAGGCCTATTTATCAATTTTGTGGTGTGTAACTTTCGCATTTTAGTACGTTGTATGTATGTTGAATCTTCAAATTGTCTTTAAACTTAAAAGAAAACTGTTCTTTAAAAATTCACTGAACATCGGTAGCTAAAATTGTTTGTTTAGGTGTTATCTGATTTTCGTGTTAACTTGTAATTTCGTCAGTCGCCGGCATCTTCTGTTGCTTCACACAGGAAAAACACACGCGACGAAACGTAATGATCAATTTTGTCCTCAATCTCACGCCATAATAGAAAAAGCTTTTGAACATCTGTAAACTTCGAGCGCTTCGCAGTAAGTAATATTTTCAATGAATCTTCGGATTGTTTTCGAGTTCAAGGATTGTAAATTACAATTTTATGAAAAACGAAGGTTGTTCTGTTATTTCAGTGTGAATCCTTGCATGCCTGCCAGTCGCTGGCGCCGCTTGTTGAAACTAAAACGAAAAGAAAAACTCTTTTAAGATTATCATTGGCTTCTTTTTCACCCCACCACTATTCTTAGCAACAAAGGTCGCCATTTCTTCTGTTTACTGTTCGCTAAAAACTATCAAATGCACTCAAAAGCCTAAAATCTAAAAAAAGTTTACAGGAATCGACCAATCGAGCGAGCGAGCGAGCGAGCGAATGCCATTCCCCACATGGTATCTATAACTCGCTCTTGCGCATGCGCGCAATTCACGAGTTAAAAAAGGGGAGAAACTTGAATATGTGAAGGCAATCATGGCCATTACAGTTATTGCAACGTCTTTGGTGCGTGAACAATTGGAAGATCAGAAGTATGAGCTCCAATTATTTGATTCATCCATTCACTAGTCTATCTATCTATCTATCTATTTATCTATCTATCTATCTATCTAGCTTTCTATCTATCTATCTAACTTTCTATTTATCTATCTAGCTTTCTATCCATCCATCCACTCATTCCGCTCTATCAGTACATCGTTCTTTTCCTCGTCATCCTTTAGTTATTTTATTGAAATCTATATTTGCATGACATAAGCGTGATGTGAAAATTGGAAAACTGAGGCCAAATGATGGTGACAGAATATTCCGCAATGTTATGTAACGAATATTTGTTCCTACTTGCTTTGCTTTGTTTATCAATAGGTTCTTTTACCTTAAGAACTCTATAACCTTGACTTTGAATAGCTTTGGCATAAATTTGATACTCGTGGATGATCACATCTAAAATTAGCACCGATGAAAATTGCCCTTTCAGACAAACATGTTCTCGATGAGGCTGTTTTCAGTAATCCCTAGAATTTCAGTCAGCTCTTAATTGCATTTATGGTAAAGGGCCAACTTGGATTTGTGCGTTCTGGACTTGATGAAAATTTTCTAAGTTGCATGCCTATTGATTAGCTGCATCAAACTGATCATGATTTACACTGGTATCACTATTTCAACCATAACTCAATTAATAGAAATGATATTTTATCTTTCGTTGAGGGCCTCAGTTAAATCTCCAGGGTTAAAGAGGCCCTAACTACGTTTGGGGCATTGGAGCTTGTGTCATGTGCACTAAATAATACGTCCAGTCAGACTAGTATATCATCTAGCTCTTCCATGAAATAGGGATAAAAATGCATATGAGTGTATATGAAGTGAATCATGTGGATTTGATCTCTGATATGTAAATAAATGAAATGATATATAATCTCTGTAGTCTGTATAACGAGTTCGCGAAGGTAAATTGCGTTTACTAACGCTGGAAAAATTTAGGACTTCTGCAACATGTAAAATTTACTTTTGGGTAAATCACTGCAAGACAACTCCATTATCAAAAAAATGATGGCACCTGTGGCAAATGATTAATTTTTTGAAGAAATTAGAGGTGGAATTTTGCTATTTATCTAACGACTGAGGTGACTTTATGAGTGATATCCGCTTGAGTGGCGTCAATCAATACATGGATGAAAATACTGTTACTCTGTAAATAGCATCATGCAAAAGTCTTTATTGACGTTGATCAGCGTAAAATGTTTCCGCATTAGCCGCTCTAAAGAAACGAGAAAGCGCAAAGCTTCAAATGATTTGATAATAATATCAGGCGAATCTTCTTCTCAAAATGGTATCCTAAATCGAGGAATCAGGCATGTCCAATAGAGCAGGTTTTGATAAATATTTGTCCATTTCTTTTGTGGTTTCCAATTAACATATTTTGGTTGATGAATGAACACTCAAACGATAGTTTGGCTTATATATCTCTTGAAAGTATAAAAAACGCTAATTAAACCAAAGAAACTGCAAAGGTTTATTACTGAATTTCAAAAATATGAAAAATGGCTTCCTTATTTCATAATATCGGTTGAATTAGAAAACCATAACAAAATTAAATAGATTCTTGAAAGGATGAATCCAATTTGAATAACTTCCAATCCTCTGATCTGTTGTTTTATTAATCTGTGGATTTTTGTTAACGACACCAATAAGACCTTCATGCTCTAGTGGGGTACAGTACGAAGGCTCAATACATTTCCTGTTGGCAAATGATTCCGGAAAAGTCGTCAGACTTTGCGTAATTAGAGTCTTACTGTCAGCACGTGCAAACGTATCCGAAACTACCAGTTTTGTCTTGCAGCTTCTGTAATGAAATTGATTTAAAAATCACTTTCTGTTTTTCTCTCGGTGTTATGGAATAAGTACAAAAAAATGCCATTCTTTGAGAAGTTATTATCCGCAGGCCCTCGTTCCGGTGGTCCCGCAAGTTCGAGTCCAGCTAACACTGTTTCTAGACTACTCCCGGTGTGGCTCTGGATGTACTGCATTCAGTTCCTCGACCATTTTAACAGTAAACTGCCCTTGCGTTTACGCGTGCCATGAGCATTTTTAACAGGCCTCCTTCGATTTATCTAAACTAATTATGTGTCGTCATGTCGGTAAAGTGCCTGCTTTATTGATATTCTCTTGGTGTCTGTGAAATAGCTCCAATAGCGAAGTGCACATCTATTTCTATGGACATTTGCATGTTACGCCACTTAATGTGTCGGTACCTCGACTGGTCAGATCTCATGCTCTATCTATAAACGTCATGGCTGCCATACGGTTGACAGCCGGTAGAGCAAGCAACACAACTCAGTTCATGTCTGTATTAGTAAATAAAACCGTCGCCTAAATAAACTAATATCACGTAGGTCCGATTCTTCTAATATATTCAATACTTCAACGCGGAAAAAAATACTTTCTTTTGTCTTGTGCTTTTTCTCTGGTTTTGTTGGCAACAATCAGTGTTCATACCTAGTTACTCGGTGTTTACGAGAAAGTAAATAACACCGGAACACTCGGGGTTTGTTAAGTTGACTCAGGAAGTCAGCGGCACGGAATATAGAGACTTTCATTTACGTTCCAGAAGTACGATATAAAGGCTAGCCAAACTGTACAAGGTTTTCGCGACCGTTCAAAAGTTCATGCCCTTCCTGAGCTTTTGATAACGTCACTGCCCCTTATAATAAACGCAAAGTACACTTAAAAACGAGGCGTAATGCATTGATTAAATGACGCACTTTCTTAGTGTTTATTTATGTATTTTTTTTTTGCAATTACATTTTAGAACTCTAACCATTTTCCGGCTCAATTATCCCATAATCATTTGAAAAGCTTGAAATTTTTTTAAAAAAATTATACAATTTAAATCTTATTTACTGAAAAAATTATCTGTGTCAGCAGACTTTGTCTTGTAGAGAATTTCGTTTGACGTTTCACATCCTGAGCTTTTTTCCGAGTTGGAAATTGTACGTCATCAAAATAAGATATTGTCATGCAATAAATTTTCGTTATGTAAACAGCAGCGGAGTTCCACCATTATATTACTCGTTTCTCATAATTTTTTTTGTTTGTTGTTTGTTTGTTTGCCTGTTTGCTTTTGTTTTGTTTTTGTTGTTGATCTAAAGGACAGTTTCAAAAACAGGACTTGCTTATCGCGAAGACTCAGCTCTGATGGGGAGCAAGTTAGTTCATTCAAAACCTTCATGTATATGTGTTTATGTTCCAACTAACAAAGTTACACTTTCTCCAGCCACCAACTCACTTATTCTTAAGATTTTAAAAAATTTTGATCCGCGACTGGCTCATAAATAGATTGGAAAACAAACGAAAGAAAAAGAAACTGGACCAAACCCTGCACAACTGCATGTTTGACGTTCACTAAAAGAGAAAACTGATATCTGTTATGCGGTCAGATGCGCAAGGCAACCTGGCTATATGTATTTAACTAGACTTCTGGGCTGTGACTTTATATACAGAACTATTAAGTTAGTAGTTTGAAGAAAAGGTGTCGGAGTTAATTTAATTGGGCTGGTTATTACAGTGATGACAGAGAAAAGGTAATCCCCTGAAATCTTTAAGAAGGGTAAATTCGCATTCGTACAGTTGAGTCCTGACGATAACTCAAACTAACATCACCGACAAACCATTACAAACACATTGAAAGCTATCTTACTGCATGAGTGAAACGTTTTAGAGTATCGCAAAAATATTCAGTCGGTCATGATTTAAGGATATTGTGGTCAAATTGGGGTCATTTTTTCCGGTTTGAGAGAAGAAAAGACTCATGCTTCCATCCCTGGGGGCCTGAAAAAATTCCGCTTTCTCTGAATGAGATCAACCAACCGATACGCCCTTTGATTACTTCTTTGTCTTGTTTGAAATTCAAAAGTTCAAGTAAAGGGAAAAGCCATTGACATGACGTAGTCCACTACATGTTTCATCATCTTCGCTATCTCAAATAATATTATTTCGAAATGATGATAAAAGTTTTAGTTGTAGCCATTAAAATTTTCCCTGTACAGATGACTTTTAAACGAAATACTCTGTTGGGATATGAAAGCCCCCGTGTGTTGAGTAGCATTTTATATTAAACACATAATGCATGTTTAGTCGTTTTAGTAACTTGCTGCATCGACAGCTGTTTAACCTTTTCACTTAAATCGCCTCACTATCTCACCGCATTGTCGCATGGACTGGATGTTAAACATTTTTATCGACTGATATTGAGATAGAGTGTTTTGATGGAAAAACCGAATTCTCAGTTATTCGCAACAAAGTAACGAGTTTACATCCGTTGGGAGAGGTTGGTTTCAGATATTGGAAGTGAAGCGGAAGGATTAATGGCCATCGTAGAATTGAATGGAAAAATCCTCGACAAGGGTATCCGAAAAAAAAAAATTAGGATGCACGAGCCTTGTGCAAACTTAGAGTTTTCTGCTTTTGCTATACGTGGAAAGGTTACTCATGCACCAAAGCTGTCAATCGTGTAAGCGTTTGACAAAAAAAAAAAGACAAGAAAAAAGAAGATTTTTACCTTGTCTTGCTACTTCTGGCGTTTCAAATATATACGATGTAACTGCCACATTATTGACAGCAAAAATAAGGAGCAACAACACTCTCTTCATATCTGAATTCAACGCAACCAGCGCTCCAAAACACTCACTTCACACTGCACTGATCTGCACCAACATATAAAGCCAACCTATTTGATTGAATGCGGAAAAAAAAAGTTTTCTTTGTCTTAATTTTCCGCTTCCATTAAAATAAAAATCCAAATAAATTAATAATAATAGTGAGAAACACTGCTGGTATCTTTCACCGCTCGTGAAAGATAGATTTTTGTGATAGCTGCGATATTTAATAAATATTGGTTTTCAGTAACTCGGCATAAAGTAAGGAAAGCTGACCCAAATATTTTGATTATGTCATGTTAATTAGAATTAAACGTCATCAATGATTACAAGTACCCTATTAAATAATGCATTTTAGTGATACGTAATATAATCCAACGCCGACCTATAGAAAATTAATAAACTTTAGTTGATAAATTATATCACTATGGAAATACTTAAGCAAACAGATTAAAATGATATGCGCATAATTCTTAAGTTGACGAATTGATCAAATGCACTTCAATTTGATGGAGGACTTAAGTTAAGTTACAGTTGTTTGAAACATTTTGCCGATAGGCACTTACCGGGCGGTTTCAATCGAGAATCCATTCGAAACAGTTTACTTTTACGTAAGGCAGTACGGAATTTATGCAGTCACAAGTTTGAAGATGACATGCATTAGTGAGAAACTGATTAAAAGTAAACTTAGAAAATACAAACAGAGAGATGAGCTCTGTTCTGTGCCTTACGAAATCCATTTTGTCTGGAAGGGCTGTATTGATCAGTTCTAAATTGACTTGAAACGTTTAAATACGCAAAATGTAACTGTAACGGTTATTGATTCAGTTTCTTACCCCCAAAAAATTCACCTTTTGATTAATCAAAGAATTTTCTCATTTTTCTCTCAGTAGTTAAGGTAGTATATTACTGTTCTTAGTAACCATAGTAACCTGCTATTCAGTTCATAACGAATGCATCACTGTCTTGCGTTATTCTCGTGGGATTTAGCCGTCTTGTGTTGGTGTTTGGCAATGGTGAAGAAGAACCAAGACTTAGAAAGGTGGTTGTTTTTTTCGAAGAATCAGTGGTTGACTCATTTTTTTCTTCAAGCAAATCATCAGTTATATGGACTCTTTCTCTGGATAGTTTAGCTAGGACAATAATGGCAACCTTAGGAAGCAGCAGTCCTACAAGGCTAACACAGCCGACCAAAATGAAGAGGCTACAATAAACGTAATCCCTCCAAGAAGACGCTCCTGCGTTGAAGTACGTTGGTAAAAATATGATCCATAAAGAACACGTTATGTACAACGTGATACCTATGTGTTTTGCTTCGTTGAAATTTCTGGGAAAACTTCGAGTTTTGAAGGCATACACAGTGCAAAGAAACATTAGGAGTAGGTTATAGGACATGTTAACAGCAAGACTAAGGCCGCTAACGTTACAAATGAGCGAGGCTTCTAGAGGCGAATGGTAAATCACGGTGGCGTTTGGTGGGTCCGAAAGAGTCCATATTGTGGTAACCAGAAGCTGTACTGCAATGAGCCCCAAGGAGATGAGGACCTGGGACATGGGCCTTATTAAAGACGGTCTCGCTGCTGAGTGCCTGGCATGGTTAAATATACGATAAATACGATTTGTTTTCATTAGTAATGGCGCGTAGCAAACGGTGAAGCACGTACTTCCAATGAAACGACGAAGTGCGCATATAAAATCGGTAGGCTTGGCCAAACAAACAAAGGAAGCCGTATAACACAAAACGATTCCGATGAATATGAAAAAAGATAGTTCCCTTCCCGCTGCTTTAATCACACTGTCATGGCGTTTAACGACGTAGAACGCAAACGCTCCTATGGCAATGAAGATCCAGAATCCCGCGAGTAACCTTAGTGAAGTTGATATCGGATCATTCCACTGAAGATGAGAAAGTTCAAGTTTTACACACCTCTGTAAACTCGAGTCTGGTTTGTAACCAAGGTCACACGCTTTGCAAGTGTTGTTTATGATCGCTTCATTAACTTCACAGGATATACAGTTCCAACAACATTTCGGGTTGAGGGCTTTGGGCTTTGTTATTTGCTTTAAGGTACAGGAGTCACTGCAGTATGAATAAGGCGGACGTGTTACGGCATTTCCCCATGAGATAAGAGCATCATCAATTCTCAGTTCACCTTTTATGTCTTTGGTAGAATTTACAAGATAATTCCATGCCCCAACCCGGACAAATTTCCATGAGCCATCTCTCCTTTGTTGGAAATTTAAGACGCTATAGATACCATCCATTTCTTGGTTCTCATTAAATTTCAAACTCATGTTAAACGATGAGTCTGGGAATGTTACATTCTTCAAGTAATCCATGAGACTTCTTTTTTTCAGTCTTTCTCTCATTGGCTGGCAAATTCCAGTCTGCTCTGGGCAAAGATCTCTTTGCATGTCGTCAAGAGCATGCGCCATAGCGTAAACCGCGTTCACAACGACACGAACTGGCGCAAGTTCTATATCACGCGGTAGTGACAGGTTGCTCTTGCATGGTGTAAGCGAGTGAGCTGCCGAATTTCTAGTCTCACAATTCAAAACAGATTTCACAACTTCTTCGAACCATGAATTGTTTGCTTTTGGAGAAGTAGTTCCTCCCAGGGTATTGTTTAGGTTTATCAAGAAATCCAAGAATTCATTTACGATTCCATCACCGTGTCCAACTGTAAGAGAGCCATTGGCTATTTCTTCGTTGCCCTCAGTGACGTCAATACGATTGCTCCAGCCACTGCTTCCAAGCCACGTAAGACCTTGTACACCAGACTCCTTAGCTGCACGGAGCAAACCAGCCGAGTCAGTCTGGGTTGTAAATAGCACAATCACGTGAGCATGACCAGTTTTGTGTCGTGATATCTTTCGAACAGCAGACATATAATTTGCTTTAGTTGGAAAGCTGGGGAGACTTTCAACTTCTGCTGTACAGATACCAGATTGCCGAGCGACCCTGTGAAATATGTTCATTCCTTTTCTGCCGTAATTTCCGTGCGAATTGATCGTGTGAACGTACGTCCAGCCATAATGTCGAAGGACATCCGCCAGAGCTTGAGCTTGAAAGGAGTCAGGAGGCACCGTCCTAAAAAAATTCCTATAAAGTTCCTTGTCACTTAACTCCACGCTCGACGAGCCATAACTTATTTGAGGAATTTCAAAAACTCGCAACAGATTCGCCACTGCTATGGAAACATCGCTTTTGAAAGGACCAATAACTCCAACGAGAGGTGTCGGTTCATCCAAAAGCGTGTATTTAATGATGTCCTTTGCACGGTCCGCTGCAATCGTCTGACTTCGGCATGTGTCGAATATCTTCGCTCCGATAGTGATGTTCTGCAGCAATTCGGTGTCATGATTGATTTTTCGGAGAGCAAACAGCATAGCAGCCAAATATTGGAATCCAGGCTGTGGATCTATTTCACCACATTTATTCTCGGTTACAGTACTTCTCTTGTGAACGGGGAAAAGTCCGCCAAAAATAACATCTCCATCCATTTGAAGTTGCTGAATGTCTGCAACAACTACCATTGAAAATTACTAGAGTTGACACGAGTTTGCAATTGGTACATTCTATAAACTACTACATATTTCTTAGCGACTAAGGAAAACCTATTATTACATAGATACTGATGACATACCAAGATTTTACCTTTTACTAAAAAATTATATCTTCATCGCGCGCAGTGAAGATCCTATTTTTCACGGGTGAGGATATTGGTGTCGCCATGGTTACTAACATGATCAGCCAATTACAAAAGAGCTTCCCGCTCAGGCGCGCGGCCGGTTCTTTTTCTCTTCTTTATTAGAATTTTGACTGTTTGGGACAGAAAATATAAGTAATATTGTCTTTATGTCTCCTTAGGAATTTCATCAGTATCTATAAAGTAAACAGAACATTACATGGCTGTTTGGGGTTACGAATTTTATTTTCTCGTGCTGAAAGTATCTCTCACGAGTTCTCTCGATTTTCACGAAAAGATAAAATTCGTATCCCTAAGCGGCTACGTAATATCCTCTATTTTATTGTAAACAGGTTTTTTTATCTGTTGATCAGTGATGATGATCGTAAGGGGGGATTTATGACGCTAAATAGTTTGAGAGAGGGACTGGTTGGTAAACTTTGAGAAATCTTCTCGCCCAACCTCAACAGATGTCGACGATGATGTGAAGTAGGTAAGATTCCGCCATCAACAACGGCCTAACATTACTAGCGGTTGAGTCTTACAGCCAACTACATCACAATAAGACTGATCTACAAGGAACATATTCAAATAGAGAAAAAATTACTCTGACACTTTCATAAAAGATTATTTTTTGATATCAGAAAAAATTCATCTAGATAGCGCTCATGCTTCGAAAACCAGTATGGTAATGGGACCCAGTGGAATCCAATTCGGTCGAAAATCATACGAGTAATAACAAAATCGATTTGTTGCTATCGCCAATTAATCATAAAAATGACAATTGCTCAAGCAAAAAAAAAACTCTCCATTTTTAAAAAAGCCCCAATTTAGGAATCTGGGTACTGTTTCTTTGGTCATTGAAACCAAGGTTGTGATTGGTTGATTTAACCTACAACTTTGAATGTGATCGGCTTATTGAACTGTCCGATAAACTGTCCGATAACAACTTGGCAAGCGAATTACTGGAAAGTAGGAGTTTTTTAAACCAATCCCAATCGAGGCAATTGTAATTTTTTTTTTTTAACTTGACGAACGTAAACATCCTAGGCAAGTTAGCCACTCATTTTCCCCAATTTTTTTTTTCTTTCTACGTGTTATGATAACATATTGAATATAAGATCTCGCAAGTTTCACTCCCGCTTTTCCTGAATTATCTGGATCTATTATTTTCAATCGCACCTTAGCCTCATGGCAATTGTATTTCAAAGAAACACAAAGGCAGTAAATTAATTTAGTATTCATTTCTGTGATCGTAACTTATATACTGAAACCAGGAAACGCTGTGTGCATATCCGTCCCTGAATCTAATATTCGCAAAATGTAATACGTGATGAAGACCTTACAACCACTTAGAGAGTTAAACAAATACTTTTATCGACAATATATTTTTCGTAAAGTTTAATTGCGCGCTATACGAGAACGAAAGTTGACAGAGTTATTTTTATATGACATAATTGAGCCCCTTCATGATTAAAAAATCGTAAAAAATTTTTATATTTCAGTACCAGGCCATTTTAAGCAAAATTCGTCCCAAAATAATGACGGATATTGCGCTTTTCACGGAGCAGGTTTTCTGCAGGCCCACTGTCTTTTATTTAAGCAAATGTTCAAGTCATTTACGCAATCGCCTTAAAATTTAAACGGCTCTTTTTCACGAGCAAAATTATATTCCATCATCGCGTATCCGGTTCATTTTAAAAAGGAACTTCCAACAGCTGATCCATATAATTTGTTCCAATTTTTGGTCATTAAGCCGCGATATTCTTCCCCGTTCGGGACCATAACTGTTCTTTTTATCAGGTTATTTTTTTCCTCTGTGCTATTTTTTTGTCCTTTTATTTAGAGGGTTTAAAATATACTTTTGTAATCCCGCATCCCACCGCGAGGAACATTTTTATCCCGATCCCGCCGGGTTCAAACCAAGTTGCTCGAATTCACCGCCAACTGACGGAGAAATTATAGCCTTTACAATGTTGATAATGTACTCTCATTATGCAGAAAAGTAAAGACTTGCTTAACGCATATTTGGCTAGCTTAAAAAAAAAACAGTATATAACAGTGTTTAAGCGGGACAAAAACTCCACCCACGAAAGGACCTAAAGTAAAACTATCCTATTACATAGATAAATTCTCCAGCCGATCACACAACGAAAAAGTCTCCGATCCCACACCCCACCTCGATTTTAAGCTTTATCCCGCATCCCGCCAAACCTATGTTCGATTCTGTATTTACCTATTATTTTATTTGATGATGGTTTGGTATCTTAAGAAGTGTGTTTCGACCCATGAACTATTTATGTACGCTTTCAAATGAGCACAAATAATATTCATCAAAACGGATAATAAGCGAAACATTTGGTCAGGGGGGAGCGTAATGTAGAGAGGTTCTTAGATATCTGCTCAAGCTGTGGTCGTGACTTAAAATCTAAATTTGAAATAGCATTTTGAAATTTGCCTTGAAAAGTTCATCCTGGGTTTTTTTAGACTTTAATTCATGAAAAGGCTGAGTAAATATGACTATTTACAAGCTATCTCGAGCTCTGTTATACAACACTGAGGTTTTTTGATGATAAAAAGAACCATTTAGAATATTTAGTTTTAAAATGTAAGTAAAGTAAGGTCAGTGCAGGTGTATTGTAACAAGCATTGCGAATCATTAGTGAAGCGAACGTGCTGGCCTGTCATCGTTTTTCTGAGTTAGCAAATTCAAACCGAATATCAAACATGAAGATACGTCTGTCGCACATGAAACTGTCAGGTCTTGTGTTATTAGTTAGATGATTACTTTCTGTAGAAGGGCATGGTGTTTGAAATTAGATCTCACTACCTACCGAAAACTTGGCTGAAAAGATGAATTTGCCACAAAATTGCGTATCCAAGAATTCTTGGGCCAGTCATCGTTCGGATTCGGCCCCTGAGCTGGTTTTGTCTTGGCCACGGTTCGTTGCCTAACTCAAAATCTCTGTAAACACGATAACTTATGTTTAGCACGTCGAAGCGAAATATGAATTTCAAATGTGAAAACTCTCTCTCTGTTTACCCCCCAAAAGTTTAGTTCATAAATAGAAGTTAGCCTCATTTGCGTCTCAGTCTGAATTTGCTAGATTATTTGTGGTAGACTTACCGATCATAGCAAAAGAAAAACTTAATTCACTCACTTAACCCTCCGTGAAGGATAATTTCATATCCCACTACACAACAAAATGTCAATTTCCGATGGAACTGATGTTGTCACTGAAGTTGTTTTCGTCATTCAACACTAATGTGGGTAGCTGATGTGGCGTCAAGTCATTATGACATGGCATTACATCTGATTTATGTCATGTTCGTGTAAATTCGTAACTAATTAGAATACTTTATCATTTGCGTACACCTGCACGGTTACTTTAATTTTTAATTGTACGTACGTTTAGATCAAGTTGCTTTTTTTTCCATCGCACGGTGTTAAATGTCTTAAATCAGAAAAACACAATGATAACCTTGAAACTCACGGCAGCGGCTAAAAAAGGTTAAACCCGCAATAAATACGGCGACTAGTTTGGCCTGTTGAAATCCAACTAATTATCATTTGCTATTCACAAACAAAATACTGTCATGTTTGATAAGTAAATGGAGCCAAGTTGTGTTTTAGTAACGAAAACTCTGATGAAAAGATAACCGCATTTTCTATAGCTTTTACAATGCCCTTCTTCCTTATCGTATATTAATCAGCATATCGCCTGTGTTCACCTCTCGCCTGTCATGCGCTAATCAATAGTTTCCTTTAATTATCTGAAAGGAAAAACCACCTGCTGTAGTTTTCTAGCACAGGACGCTAATACTATGCACCATTTTCACTAATAGCATAACCAGCCATGAACACTTACAAAGAGAGAACGAACTTTCAAATTTCAATAAATTTGTGTCCATCAGTCCTATTAGGATTCAATCGAGGGGTCGAAGTAGAACTGACTCAAATTTTGTGAAAATGTGTAAATCATCGCCGCTGTTGCCTTCCGTAACTACTAATCGCAACTGTGGGGCGCTTTTTTGGTTTTACTCCTAATTTAAACTTATTTTCAAGTTCTCACGGGGTGCTGAGTGCGCTTCGGTGGTTCTAATTTCGAGAAATTAAAGAGCACCTGATAAGCCTGATATATTTTATAAAATAATCACGGAAATTAAGACCTACCCTCTAAGAAAGTCCATACTTTAAGTTGCGGAAACGCTTTTTACGCTCGAATTTATGTCTTTTGCGAAGCGCGCCTGGGCCATATTATCGAGCAGAAAAAAAAACCCCGGTCCTTAACCCACAGTACGGACCTCAAGCTCGGTTAGTAAGAGGTATTTACAAAGCTGTGTCTTGGATTGTAGCTCATCGTACTCGAACGGTATAGTCTACGCATTATCGAAGAATGAATAGGCCACTTCTGAGTTCTCGCCGTTCAGTGATCTGGTGCCGAAATTACGGCGCGAGGAATCAGTGCCACGGTTATAAAAATCACTCAGCTGAATGCCTCTCTCCCCAAAATAATTTTTCACTCTCCCACACCATGAGCCCACACTAAATTTTGAGAATTTTTTTCTCAATTCCACCACAACGGCATTTACCTGATTCTTTGTACCGATGAGAGCGACTTCGCACTTAGCCTCGTCCTCGAGTCGTAATTCCGGTACCAGATCACTGAACCGCGCCCACTCGGAAGTGGCTGAACCTACAGGTGAAGGTCCCAAAACTCAGTCACAAAGATATTTGGCCCCCTACATGTTGCGAATAATATTCAAAATTATTTCACGTTCATGCGAAACTTGAGACGATCTCGATGACCAGTCTTATGCGACAAAAGATGACGTAATGTCCTATCTTTGTTGATCAAGAACCGTTGTGGTCTGTTTTATGACTTTTATCAAAAACAAAATGGTTCACGAATCACGTTTTATTCAGGTCTTCATTCACGCGTCACGTTGAAATAAAAAAATTAGTTCACATGGACATGAAATGTCTTTATCAATTTTAATTCACGAATTATGTAAAAATCAAATCACGATTCACGAAAAAAAAGAAACGCCTAATCACGCTTCACGCAAAAAAGATTTAGAGGGGGACCTGGAAGCTAGCTATCACAACGTTAAAATGGCGGACTCCGAGACAGAATGTTTACCAGCAGATTGGGAAGACAATGATCGAATGAATTTTATGTTTTCCGCTTTTCCTGAGAGCAGAGAGGTGAACCCAAAACACTGGGACTCTAAGCTGAATTTTTGGAGTAAAGCAATTCTGGAAAACTGTGAACACCACGAAGATATTTTTATTAATTTGGCGACCTTGAAATGTCGGTTTACGCGAAACAGTTTGACACCGCTCGGGCTTCGCATTGTACTGAAACAAATGATTCAGCAAGGAAAGCTTGTACGAAAACAGGATTTTATGAACTTTAATAACGATGGCTGGATGTCGTGGTCTTTTGGATTGGCGAAGAGATCTTTTTGGTGGGGTGTCCATACTGTAATGGGAAGCGATGATGCCGTAAATCTGGATGATAAATTCGTTTTAGTCGATGCAGCAAAGGTATAGATTACATTTACTTGGAGTATTAAAAGTTTACAAATTCCAGATATCAACCAGAGTTTACTTGTCCCAGATCCGTTGCCTGGACCCCCCCTTCCCCCCCTCCCCCCAGAGTCTTACTGAAAGCTGTTGTGACTGTAGCCCATCCTTGATATGATTTTTTTATTCAGTTAATTACTTCTTTATGCCATAACCTTGACATGAACAAGAAAAACAGGAAAAGGAAAACCCAACTAGGAAAACTCCTTTTCCTTCTGAGTTGTCAGCACTGACATAAAATCAAGCATATCTACTGCTGCTGCTCGTTATTCAATAAATTTGCAAAGCAATACAACGTGTTCGTGAGTAATAAGGTAGCTTTTTTCATTGTGTAAATTTTCTGATGTTGACTTATCGCTTTTTCAAACTCAAAAGTTTTGTTACACACAACAATGTAACGCAGAGGAAACTTGTAGCACTGAATAACAAAAACACATTTTTTGCTCCATGCAGGTAAAAAATTGTATATGTGTGTCTGACTACCTAGTGTCCGAGCGTATTAAATGTGTCGGTGCAGTTAACAGATACTGTGATAGTCAGAAATATTTGCCAAATTCCCATAGAAAACACTTTATGCATCACCCCCTGGGAATGGTCTATAATTGACAATTGCTAATAAGGCATGCTAATTGCTGACTTTTGATAACAAAAAATTTGTATCTTATTTGAAAAAATTTTGAGAGCTTATGCATCAAGGAAAAGGAGAGACTCTTGTACAAATAGTTGAAACTGCTGACAAGATTTAACTGGTGTGTGTTAAAAATGTTTAAAGATTCTAACAGAATCACTCTCTGAGCTTGGCTGCTTACTAGAAAATCAGAAAATTTTAATACCCTGAGTAACCTAACCTTTTGAAAAGTGTCTTCCATTGTGGATAAGATTTGATGGCAGAAGCCACCAATTTTTAGCCTTCTCCCTCTTTTATTCCATCTCTTTTGTGGCCAGGTTATTATTTTATTAATGACTGTTTTCACTATTAATTTAGAATTTTAAGTATATATGAGTTGTTTTTAAAATAGTTCTTGTGCATGATGACATCATTTATTGAAAAATCACTCCCATGCCTTATTTACACTAAACTTTTCGTGAATCTTTGCCAATTTCTTGTTGTGTCTATTCTATATTCTTTGGTTTCAGTTTGATAGGAGTACTTTCTCATTAAAACTCATCAGTCTTCACCAAGTGAGGCTTGGGGTTGTAATAGTAATAATTATTGAGTCTTTAGATGTAAACATGTATAGGGTCTATTGTATAATAATAATAACAACAACTTTATTTAAGGAGGGTAACACATAACAGTAATTCAACTGATGCACTAGTGGCTCTCGATCCTAAAAGTACCTTATTAGAGTTAAAATGTATAAAATGTTTGTAAAATGAATTTGAGATTACGGTTACAACACAGCAATCACCATGGTTTAAAGTTAATTCTCCCAGCTGAAAACCAAACATTTTATTGTCAGCTTGCTATTAGGCCTTTGCATTCAGTAGGGTAGCCAAAAATGCACCTTCTAGATGATGATGATGATGATGATTTCCTTTTGATAGCAATAACAAACTGACACATAATAGATGCAATTTTGCACAGGACATTTATAGGATCAGGCTCTGCCACTTTTTCAAGGTCAAATTATAATTTAAGAACTGGAAAACTCACAGAAAAATCAACAGAGCAAAGACAAGAACCCATAACAAATTCAATCTACATATGATGCCAGGATTGAGAAGGAAACCTGGCTGGCAGTGGTGGGAGGGAAACTCTCTTACTTCAGAACCCTCCCTGCTCTTTGCAAACTTTTCATTACCCACACCCCCTCCCTCATCCTCTGTCCTTTGGAATTTAGTTTATTTAAGTATTAAAGAGACTTAGCTACTGATAACTTTCCAGGGACATCTTTAAGTTGAATTAAACTCCAAAGTGTCCCTTTTCTTTTCAGATTTTAAATGTTAAATTTCACATGATGCAAACTTAACAATTTTGTTGTGATTTCTTTGTCTGAAGGAAAATGCAGAATGGCTTCTCGCCAAACATTACGCAGGCGTGCAATGTGAAACAACAGACCATGTTATACCATGGAATGTGATGAAAATGCGTTGTAAGAAGTTTGATGATGAAACCCTCGAAGTTCTTTTGGCATATTTACAACAGCATGGTAAAGCAGTTGTATATGTTACACCTGAAGGAGAGAAGGTAGGTATCTGTGGTGCTTCAGAATTCATGAGAGTGGATAATACTTATATCACTGGGGCTTGTCATGTAATGTGCACTGAATAATACTCATTGAACTATTGATGTACAAGATATAACTTTGCTACTCAATCAAGGGGTTTATGAAGAAAAGTTTGGACAAAGATTACGTGTGAGTTCATTATTTTGGTGTGAATAGGTTGCCTGTGATTGAGGACAGCCTATGTATCACAAACCACTAACTTTAAATTTTCCTTTTAGTGGCTTTTGACTGTGATTTTTTGATATAAAAGCTTTCATTTCATAAATAGGACGTAATAAAATTTGTCACCGGACTGTATTTGAAACTTCAAACCATGTTTTCATTGGATAATAGACCAGCCTTGAAGTCAAAGGAAAAAAAAGCAAAGGTGTAAAATATATTGTGGTCCTTTACACCCCAATTTAAACCTTTAACTCCCAAGATCTCACTAGTAATTCTCCTCACTGTCTGTCATTAGATTCTTATTATGACAACTAATTGACAATTTTTGTAGGTTATCAAGTTTGCAAGAAAAGGTGAAGAAAAGGTGACAGCAGTTTCTGACAATGATGTTGATATTGTGAGGTTAGATGTCTATTCTTGTTTTTCTAAAATGCCCTTAAGAAGTTTGCAGTAACTATCAAATGTTATTTATTTCCCATTCACAGAAATGTTCAAAAGCTGTTTCATCAACCCTTTAAATCTTAAGATCTCATTGTTGATTCTCCCTTTTAGCTACTACACAATTTCTTGCTAATAAGTTATGAGAATTTGGTGTTAGATCAAGATAAAAACTTCAACCTGATCATTTTGGAAAAAGGAATGTAAAAAAAAGTTGCCACTGACATTTTGGTTACTACTGTTGCCTTCTTCAGCAAAGATGAAAATGCAAGCATATGGTGTTTGGCCAACAAAGAATTTTCATCCAATGTTGCTATGGCCTTTGTGTGTTCTTTTTGGCCAACAAAGAATTTTCATCCAATGTTGCTATGGCCTTTGTGTGTTCTTTTGTGCTTGTTTTTAGTGTGTGCGCTGTCTGACCAGTGTAAACACAATCACAGTCTTTACATTTGATCTTGTACACGATGCCTCTCTTTTTGTCTTTTGGCTTTTAAAGTATGCTTGAGATGGAGTGGATAGGCTTGTGGGTGACCTTGATGTTGAAACATATACCAAGCAGGACACCGTTAAACATTATTTTGCATTTTTATCTTTGCTGAAGAAGGCAACAGTTACTGTAGTAGCTGAACCGTCCAAAAAAAAAACATTTTTTGGCCAGTGTCAACTTTTTTTATTCTTTTTACCAAAGTTTTTAATATGCCTGGCTACACACTGAATATTTTTAATTTCAACCTGATCAGTATAAGTATTCACATTACCTGTTTATGGGATATTGTATGGATATTACAGGAAGAGGTTATATGTTGAAATTGTTTTCTTCAAAGAAGCTGCTTAAACCAATTTTTGTTGACTTCAAATTTAGGACACTGAAAATACAAGTTACTGATTACACAAACCTTTTGGAAAATTCTGTGATTCAAGTCTCTGTTTTTCAGATTTTCATTCAATTTAACACAGTTTAACTAAACTTATTTTGCTGGTGTGAATGGGTATTAGTTAATGAAATAAATCTTGTTGAGCCTTTAAGATCTCTATTGATCCAGTGCAACCATCTGTTTGTTCCTTTTGTACTGCCATTTGTATTCATTTCATTATTGTAAGGTGTTCTCAAAATTACATAATTATATAATATGTGATTATGTTTATATACACCAGTTTATATTAGTGAAAGAATATGATTTTAAAATACTGTTTTAAAAAAATCTGTACCTTTGCATTTGAGCCTGAGTTTACTGCAGATGCATTTCAATCTATTATCTCTAGGCTCCGGAAGACAGTGGCCAGCCTAACTCTTCAAGTAAATAAACTGTCAGATGAAGTTGAAAGGTGATGAATGAATTGTTGTCATTTACTTTTCTATGATCTTGTACATAGCAGGGACTGTGATTTGTGATGTGTATTAAAAATTATTATTATCTTTATTCTTGAAGTTGTAGATTACAAGCAGCTGGTTTTGCAAAGGAAGGTTCTAGAACAAAGGTGGGTACAAACCTTCATTTAAGACACTTCTGATTTTTTCATTTGCTACATGCAAAAACTGCCAGATAGTTTGAGTGTTTTAGTAAGTTGCTGTAGTGTGGACTTTGTATGTCAGTCATTGTTTCATTTAGTCAATCAGTGTCTGTTTGTTTGTCAGTCAGTCAGTCTGTCTGTTAAGCAGTCAATTAGTCTTTTGTTCAGTCACTCACTCAGTCAGTCAGTCAGCCAGTCTGTCAGTCTGTCAGTCATCATACAACTTAAAAATATAAAAACCACTTTCTAAGGTGTGTTTATTTTGCATAACAGGCCCTTAAACTGCTTCGGAGAAAGGAACTAAGAAAACGAACATTGGACAAGGCAATTGCAGACTTGCAGTCATTTGAAGAAATTTTACATAGAATCCAAAATGCGCACACAGATAGATTGGTGAGAAATGACTGCTTTGCACATTTTAGTAATATGATAATGAATACCTTAAGGTTGGCATACAGAATGTAAGGCTTTATGTGAAACTGTATTATTGTTCCCTTTATATAAAAGTGTAAGTCTTACATTTAGGCCAAGCCATTCATAGCACAGAATTGTATCTTGGGCTTATTACACAATGCAGTGTCAACTGACCGAAAGTATTGCCATTTCCTTTGGATTGCATGTTACTCTATAGTCTGTTGCAGGTTCAGTAGTTTGTCAGAATTAATTAACAGATTTCTTGTGCTGACCCTCATTCCCAGCATTCCTCATATTCTTACCCCCTCTCTTTCTCCAAGGGGGGAGGGGTTGTGAGGGATTATTGGAACAAGGGTGGAGTACCAGCAAACTGTCAGTGAACTCTGGTAAAATGTTGTTGGCTTTGTCCCCCCTTTATAAAACATGATGGGAAGATGTACAGTGTACAAAGGCTATAGTGTCTTACACATTGACAACAGCAATGGCTTGAATTTTTTAGGGCTTATAATCTTTTTTTGTGCCTTTGTAAATCTCCCAAGTTTGCATTTTCTATCTCTTGTTAGGTTATCGAGGCTTTGAAGGCAGGAACAGCAGCACTGAAGGGGGCACATTCAGGCATGACAATTGAAAAAGTCGAGGATGTAATTGATGACCTTAATGAAGTGAGTCCATTTCAGGTTTCCTTTTTCAGAAAAAGAATCTGACATAACAGTAACCAAAAATTATACCATTAAGGGGATAAGTTTCTAGAGAAAGTGGTTCTGTGTCAGTTGGGGGGGAAGGGTGGTATTACAAGACTGTTTCGTTTTATCTTCTGAGTTGATAAAGTAAACTGACCACTGTAAAGAGTTTCTAAAGCTGATGTTTCGAGCATTCGCCCATATCACTCCACCAGCATACTGAATGCATTGTACATTTGTAATGGAAATTGAACTGAGTGGAGTGCAATTTTGGTCTGAAATCATAATTGTAAGTGATTTCAAAACCACTCTGTTCAATCACATCCACCTGACTTTGCAATTACAAAATTCAATGATTCAAATACAGAATTTTTAAGTTTGTGCAAATATTTTATTGATCCAGTACTGAGCTGGTTTGTAGAAAGTTGCAAAAATTGTTTTTTTCCCTTGCAATTTGATTGGTTGCATTAAACAAGCCTCGAAACATGATAAGTTGTTGTTGTGTTGAAGTAAAGAAGTAATCTAGAGCAAAAAATGGTGTGATTTGTGGTTAAATTGCACCTGTGAGAGCCAATCAGATTGTAAGGATCAGCAGTGATTTCAAAATAGATGTAATATATTCAAGAACTGTTGAGTGGAGTAGATTTTAACCCCCCTGGCCCCCGTTTTTAAAAAATAGCTCGAGGTAAAGATCATTGGCACAAAGCAGCTCATAATTCTATAATTCCAGCTGCTTAGAGCTTGATACTGCCAACAGCAAAGATAAGGAGGGCGGTAAAATATGTAAGAAATCGTCACATAAAGGGAGTAAATGATGAAAGTCAACCGATTCCGAGCTGTTGTTCATTTATGAATCAGCTCAACAGCGTTTAAACATGGGTTCGAAATGTAGACATGTATCCCATCTGTAGTGACGCATTTAAATGTTGCATTGGGACTGAGAAAGAACACGTATAAGTGTCTGTTTGAATTTCTTTGATGCAGGGAATAAATGAATCTCAAGACATAAATTCAGCGATATTGGAAGGTGAGGTGAACCGAATTGCTCTATATTTCTCGCTTCTTTGAGTGGGCACTCCACGAGGTAAAATGTTAGCGCGCCGCGCAGAACTCTGGGAGTGAGGCGCACGAAAAGTCACTCAGCCGTGCGGAGGTCAAACGGCTCTCTTTCCTAGTTTGGAGTCCTTACTTTAAGTGCGCCTCGCTCCCAGAGTTCCACGCGGCGCGCATACGTCAATTTTTTTTCCTCGGATATTTTTTTTCTTTTGACTCGCTTGACGGACTTCATCGAAAAGGAGGGACTGCTCATAGTCTATTCTGAGAAATAACTTTTTCCTTTGGATTTCCAGGGCAATCCAGCGTTTCACTGGTTTTGCTCAACAATGAGATGTAAACTTCGACAAAATCGTGTCTTAGACATTTTTACGATTTTTGCGCTTGTAAATACCAATAAGTGGTGTTGTTCGTTTAGAATTGTATACGTCAAGTTCTCTTTTTCTCCTGATTGACTTGCCTTTTTTATGATAAGCTGTTAAATTAATTTGATTTCGATCGTATTTCTTGTTAACTTCTGCTTTTCCCTCTTTCATCATGTCAGTATCAACCTTTTTTTGTTTAATTTTACAATACCCAAAAAGTTCATTTTCATCTTCATTTCAGGTAATGTACGACGACTTTCTGAGGCATCTGGGATAGGACCGGATGAGATGGAGGAACTGGAACGAGAATTAGAGAGCCTCGATATCGGGGAAAAAGGTATTGTCAAACTTGCCGAACTGATCGTTTTGCTATAAATTAGCCTGAGATGAAACTCATTTAGGCCCTCAGTGCACTCAGTTTATGACAGTACAATGTAGTTCAAAAGTGATTCTTGAGAGAATTTGAGCTCTGACCAGTTTCGCTTTCACGGGGGAATGCATCACCAACTGAATTACAGAGAACTTGTTTAGGAGCTCGGCCATATATTATGTTCATATCATATGACAAGAGTCTTCAACAGGTGTGTTATGTTTTTCTCCTTTTTAGATTCGGGCTCCGCTGCGGGTTACCAGTACCACTCGACTTCATCTAGGGTAGCTCAAAGGCCTGGTTCGGACACGGAACTTCCCAAGTTACCTCCAGTCCCCTCGCACAGCCCGGATGCATCTGAAAATCTATCAACGAGACAGAAAACAAAGAGCCTTGTAGCCAGCTAAGTTATTTTAAGAAGCCTGGCCTCGCTTTAAGCGGGAAGTGAATGTAGGGGGACAAATGAACATTATTACGATTTACCTTTCCGTGCTGTTGTTGGCGTGATGTTGTACGAAGTAAATTGTAGTTTTCATTTTTGTGATTAAGAAAATTATCGAAGGGCAAATTTTTAGCTTCCTATAGAAAAGGTGGAAAGAGTCACACGCCGGCTTCTTAAAATCGAACGGACACTGCAAAGAAACCTCCAGCCCAACGATTAATTGAGAATAGCTAACATTACCATCCCTCTACCTCCTCCCCAGTCCTCATTGGGTAAGAACTCGTGCATCTCAATCTAAGAAGTCTTTTTTGTTCAAACTTTAGACCCGAAAAAAAAATCTCAATTGCCTTCGTATCGTACTGAATAATTCAACGCTCTTTCCCCATAGACCGATTGGGACATAATGGAACATTTACTCCTGGGACATTGGGGTTGCTATGAGAACAGACGTAAAATATCAAACTAGACGATCAAATGTCCCTTCCCCTGTATTATTTGGGATATGAAACCATGGCAATACGCACACATCACGTCTCTGATACAACTTTTATCAGGGAGTTTTACAGTATCAGAGAACAGATTTCAAATCTTCCTAAACACATAACTGGTTGATACGTAGAAACGTAAGTGTTTGATGGACAAGCGGGTAAGTAAGTGTTTTATTTTGATGGATATCTGTATGGGTTAACTTTAGCGCGTAAAATATCATTTATTGAAAGGATACAGAATTTATGACAGGTCATATTGTTAGCACAACAGAAGCCTTCAACTAGATTTTGAATTATTTTATTTGTAAATGTAAACTTGCTTGTTATCCTTAGTCATTCCCCTTTTTGTTGTATGTATGCGATTCAAATAAAAAACTTCTTTTTCATCTTTTAAAGTATTTCCGTTTATCTCCAAGCTACTAGTACTCTCCAGTTATCTGCCGTCTCAGAGAAGACAGAGTATGCCTCTAGTTAGGTAGACTGTTAAGACCGTGCGCTCATGTTCAAGGACATAAGCACGCATGAAAAGTTTTTACGTGTTACAGCTTTTCGATATCGCGTTAGGGTTATCGTGAGAGGTTATTGGTAATCAGGCTACATTGCCTTATCGAGGCAAAAATAACAAATGTTGCACGCACATCTATAAGTATGAATCAATTCTAATCATTTTCAATAGTTTTAAAATTTTGTCGTGTGTGTAAGCTGAGAGCACGTTAACAAAAGCCAAACAATGCGAATGCTGGGTGGGAACTCATTTTCTCTGTCAACCTCCATGCTTGTGACAACATTCTGACATTTTACAGGCCGTCGATATTATAGTTTCATCGCACTCAGGCTCCTCATGCAAAAATAGTGAAAAACAAACGAGAAAGCAACACAAAAAGGCGATTCGTAGAATCTGGCAACGGCGTGAGCGCGTGCGTTGGTGATAGAATCATACTCAACGGATGAACACCTGAGTATACTACATTCTCCTTCGGTTTTGTGTGCTTCAGTGTACGTAAGAAAATGCTTCTTTGTGGAATAATGAATGATTGTGCTCCGTAACTCATTTTGAAACCGAGGCAAATGTAACTGGGAGAAAAGCGAGTCACTTTGTTCAACTCAGTGCTGGTCAGTGGATTTTCTGTAAAGTTTGCGGTTGTTGCGTCATAATGCCCTTCGTCATGGAAAGTTCAACGATGTTTTCTAGGTGCTAAGTGAATTCGGGAAGCAAAAAAAGACTTTATGTTATTATGGATTTCAAGAACTGTCAGAGAGGTGATAACATCAGAGGTAAGCTAATGGTTTGCGCTTTGCTTTGACCTGATTCGCTTTGTGGTCGTTTTAAGACTGCAGCGACTGTCCGGGCCAAACCGAGATCTGACCTCGCTTTTTTCTTAAGCATTTTAAAGTATCTTTGCTTTAGAACTGCCTATATTTTTTTTTCAAACCTGCATCTTGAAAGCTCTAAAGCACATCGCAAAGCCATGGTTTGTTTACAACCAGAATTTTTGTCATAGTTTAATGTTTTTTTTATTTTATGAGCACTTCATCGCATTTTCTCGAGTTTTTTTATTGTTTTGTTGCGTAGATTTTGAAGTGATGTTTTAAGAAACAGACTATTTTACAGTTTTAGGCAATAGTATGCTCCTGATGTAAGAAAAACTTGACCAAAAAATGATGTCGGAGGAAGTTGGGTCTGAAGTGCCACGTAAACAGGACAGCAAAGCGGAAGAAAACAACTCCAAGGTAATCGTATGTAAATAGGCGTAGTATTTCAAGAAGAACCCAGAGGAAACGTTTTGGGGATGTTCACATTCGAATGAAAATGATAAAATATTTCTGGACATGTATTGTTTTTGAAACAGCCATTGAGGCCGTTTTTCTTAATTTACTTCCTTTCATCTATGGTAAGTCTGCAGTTTCAAGTGGATCTTCCGACGAATTGAAGAGGAACGCTCAATCCGGTAAGAGAATGTTTTTAAAAATTCGGCTTTATACCTTGAAACTTGCTAGGTATCGTCGATAACGCAAGGGACTTAAAAGGTTCTCTTCCACTGTCAAATGGACTACACAGGGAAATGCGTCGTATTCGTGTGAACTTGAACAGATTCGGCACGCCTATTTTCAAAAGTTTTTAGGGTGTCTGAAAGTTATCTGCCTTTTTGACTTTGTGGCGTGAATTTGTCAACCTTTTTTTTTAGTTTGATTTTGCTGAGAGGGATTGAAAATATATTTAAAATAAACCGACATTTCTTGACATAACTCGGTCGCACTCCTTGGATTTCGATCTCAGGTCTCTTTTTTTTTTGGCTGATACCTTATTCATGTTCCACCTACAGTTTTCATTGACCCAACTGAAGAGTGACCCTGAAGCGACTTTATTTTCTTTTTTATTTATCATTTTAGCAGAGAACCTCACAGCGGATGAAACTGAGTCAGTGAGAGTGGACTCCAAAGAGGATAATGAAGTCTGTCACTCCTTAAGGTCTGTTCAGGCATTGTGGGTAAACTGCGATGTGTATTCCATCGTGCTGTACTGTGAGGGTCTCATGGAGATAACCGATAGCCATAAAACGGCCAAAAAATTAGCCGTTAGGTGTAAATTCACAAATTTTAACTGTCACTCGTTAAAAAAAAAGATAATAGTAAAAATTATTCTGCTAATAGGAACGAAGAGAAAATAATATTCAGCCGTGAAAACCATCACCCACCCCCCTCCCTCCCTCAAATCCTGAGGTCCTCCAATGTGGCTTGTACAGCCGATCTTTGAACAATAAATGTACGTTATTCGCCAGCCGGGAGGTCCGTATTGGGAAAACTATGCCCGAGGTCTTGAGTACCGCCCGAGGCCGTAGGCCAGTGAATAACATTTTTTTTTTTTTCAAACTTAACGAAAATCTTTCTAAAAAGAACCCGAATGATTTAGGGCTGTATTTACGAAAAGATCTTCATAAACTGACAAATTTTTGAGCGAGTAAATGGTCGTTAAAATAGAGGTGATACAAACTGAAGAGAGAGGCTTCACCGAAACATTTTCCTTTGCGTAATGATAAAGGAAAACATTATTATTATGAAACATTATTTTTACAAGTATCTGTCTCAATCTGACACCTGTCAATTAGAGAGCGCGTAAGAAAAAAAAGCGCACGTGCATCTTTGAAAAAACAACGGAACTAGTTTGGCAAGGACTGTCACGACAATGTTTTCATAAAAAACAGTCAGTGATTTTACGAAAAGTATTATTCACTCTCATCGACGATTAATTGATGTTCGAAGATTTACCTCTGCGCAGTAAGTAAATGGCAAGGAAAGTATTTGTAAGTAAATTCAAATTCTTTATTTTTAAGTTGTGAGAGTTTGCTCGTTTGCTTGCTGCAATGGCGTGTATAAGTCTGCGTCTTTCCTCCGTCGTCTTGAATAAGAAACTTAAACTTGACACAAGGGGGTTTAATGCGGCTTTTTCTCGCTGAATTCATTTAGTTTCTGTTTTCCAGTTTACGGAACAATTGTCTAAATTGAACTGACTTGAAAAGACTCACCGAAAGCGTGTTTGTAGTAGAACTGAAAACTTCGCTCGCCCTTTCACTACGAACAAATTCTTTGAGAGAATTCAGATATTGAATGAATGAAAGTTCCATCGACTAATTCAATTGTAACCAAATACCTCACGTTTTGATTGTTGAGGTACTCTTTGTGAAAGATTTCAATTAATTACAGACGGTTTTTAGGCCGCCTGTCAACCAATTTAATTACACAGGTAGTGACCAACGTCTTCGCATAAAAATGCTGCCCAGCCGGAAAAACCAGATAAATTTATGAAAATGGCAAAGGGGGAAGGGATGTACTCGGTGACTCACGAAAGCGTTACCGTGCCCGTGTGCAGAGATAGGAAAATACGATATATAAAAATAAAAACGCGATACTGACCTGATGCTTCTAGATTCTCCTTACTTCCCGATACCGGGAATGATTTCCAAAGAAGAATTCAGAGGCGTCAACATTTACTTAATTAAGCGCCGTGGCGTTTTCTTGTCGCAGCTATTTGGGGCGCTTCATATTCTTCTTATTTCAAAAGATGAAAGTAGAACGAGAAATTGTCAATATCAAAGAAAGGAACATATTAAGTATAAAATATCACCAATTGTCCCGTTTTGGTGGGAAAACGGGGTTGTCCTTAGAATAGCTTGTACTGAATCTTGGAATATGCCTGATGGAATATGTCTGTGGTTCCACTCCTTGTGGGCGTGTCAAATCTTCTCAAAATTATTTGTGGTGTTTCCTTATTTACTTTTTTCATCATAGTTCACGTTTGGTTTCCAAGTCCTCAGCAGCATTTCCTGTTCGTCGAGTGTCCTCTTTCACGTATCTTAGAGACGTCAAAGGAAGAATGAAGTCCAGTGCAAAACACTGTAAAAGTGAAGGAAACATCTCAAGTATTGAGTTAGCTCCCTCACTTAATGGTTCAAAGTGGCCAGAGTTCTTATGCAGCAACCATACTGGTCAGGAGCACACCAGTGAATACGAAGTGGAGGGTGTAGAAATTCAAACGATAAGTGAGGAAATGGTAAGTGGTTATTTATGATGCTGATGTAAAGGATGCTTTGTAAAACCAAACCTTCTGTAATCTCATGGGTAAAATAATTGATCATGAAATAAGTTTTATCAAATGTTTCCTCTGTGAGTATAACTTATTCTCCTTTGCACGACCTGTCTGCTTCCTTTCGCCAGCAGGTACATGCATACGAGTTTGCTCCAGATGCAGGAAAAGAAAAGAAACATTTCATTGACTGGCACTGATTATCACAAAATGGTTATTGACTGTTCTGATTTCAGGCTTCAAAATGTGAGCTGACTTTCACTGAACCTAAAAGGGACAAAGAAGAAGGTAAATCATACAACCGGTTTGACTGATTAATATTTCTTATGGGAGAAGCATCTTTAGAAACCAGATAATTTCTATACCAAACTTTAAAAAAAGGATAAAAAATTAACAACTTACCGCGTTATGAGATTCCAAAGAGTAACCTGAGAATACTCTTTAGCTGTCTTCATAAATGTAAAAAAATTCTGTTATGAACGCCGTCATTTTGAAAATAGCTGTGATCGGTTTGCACGTAAAAACCACGAAACGCAGTTCTTTGGTTATCGAAAACAAAATCATAATATTTAATTTAACTTAGAAAGTCATTTTGTGATATTCCTAATTAATCAAACGGCCTTCCGAGAGATGAAAGAAAGGGTATAGAAATTTTACTAGGACGATAAAAGGTGACAGCCTCCGTGGTCGGGTTTTAAGCACATTTTAAGACAATTTTTAAAAGCTTAAACCACGCTCTTTTGAAATCTCAAACACAGCTAAACTCACAATATCATGTGCACTTTTCGATTAGGAGAAAAAAAACTACACAACTTTAAGGGCATACTTCTTAAAATGTATGTGCCGAATTCTTATTTTCCTTTAAAGAGTAGATACCACCCAGTCTTTTCTTTAACCTAGCGCATTGACACTTATTTAGGTTTAAGTTACTTAAAATTGCTCTCAAAATTTTTAAGGCCTGTTATTGACTTAAATAGCAGTGGTCACCAAATTAAAACCAATGGCAAATTGTTTATGTTTTATATACAAGGCGTTAGTCACGTGCAATAATACCAGGCTTCATTGGTTCTTCGTTATTGTTTGGCTTATTTTTGTTCCGATGGCGAGCTTACGCTATGGGTATACGCAACTGAACTGCTGCTGAAACCATTTACTTTGTACTTAAGTAGCAAAGGCCTTGTCCACCAACTCACAGCAAAAGCTACAAAATTTGATTTTATGTCCTGGCGTTAAAAAAAACTATAATTTTATTTGTGCTAAACTCGGGGAAGTAGAATTCAGCTGGATAAAATGAAACTTAACACTCATAGGTCTCTTCAGTGTTGTTCCATACATAGTGGTGTGATATAAATTGCTCTCATCAAACTAGGAAATGAAGTTACGGCAGATGAACAGCCTCAAGTTACACGAGGACACGTTTACCAGAATTTTGACTTCGAGAGGTAACTAGTTGCAAAGTATCTACAATGGTATAACTTGCGATCGAAATGTATTACAGATATGATTCATTTCCCGGAGAAATGTTTGTTTTGAAACTGAAACCAATCATAATGGCCAATTATATAATAAGCTCGAGATTTCAATCGCGTGATAGTTGATGAGGACGACGCTCAAATCAGCAATTGCTTGAACATAGACGTCAAAGTTTTCACAATGTGGACAATGCATCTCCCGGCATGGAAAGGGGAGATCCAAAATAATTTTTTTCTCTCGATTGAATTCTTCTTGGGTGTTCTTCCTGAGAACGTGTTTATTTTGAGAACAAAGGTGAAAGATAAATAATACTCGACGGGAAAATATGCCACCATAGAAAAGACTGGAAATTGACTGTGGAGATACCATTGAGGCCACTGTTTGATTAAAAAATGAAACCGTTTAAAAAGAAATATAAATTTTTTTTCGACTGGTAATTTTTAATTGAAATTACCATCATGATGTTATTTTAAAAATCTTATTTTATTTCTAATTTAAAGACCGCAGTTAACTATAGAAAAGTGTTCGCTTAAAAGGAGGCAAGGAGGATGGTTTATAGTGCATTAATATATTTGCCAGAAACAAGTTAACAGATGGTTACTGTTTCTTCCGTTTTCACAGAGTGATTGATTACGAACAAAGACAACGTTCGCAGAGTGATTCAACCGACTTAAACTCTTCAGGTGCCTTCACTGCCGAGAAGCTCAGGAAAACACAAAGCTACACAGTATTTCCCCACATCAATAAAAACTCCACATGCTCAGATGACGAACCTTCCTTCAACCTTTACCGAACATCCTGCTTCAGAGTTATGCCCCATCTATCAGAAGGCTCCTTCCACAATGAATATTTTCCAACAATCTCCGTTTTGTCTCGTTCGTCCCAGTTTGAAAATTACCCTTTGAATATGACTTGTGAAATCAGTAGCGAATCTGACGATTCCGTAAGGGAGCTGGAGGTAAACAACCAAACCGTGCTTCATACGTGGCGAAGGCCAGCCCAGAGAACTATGTCCTACTCAGAACCTGCTCCGGTTGAGCCCGAGGGACGGGTCCGAACATGGAGCCTACCTGATTTGGAGGAGAAGCGTTCAAGAGGCCAAGAAACGATGCACAAAGTTAAAGCGTCTCCATCGCGGCTTCAATTTCCCGAACAATCGTTGAAAAACCTGAGAGAAGAACGCAGTTTATCTTCGCTGGGACACACCTCAGAGGCAGTTAGGTCTCGTTCTTCGTCAGTGATGTCACTTGTGGATAATTACGACAGCCAAATTTGTGATCAACATTTTTCATCCCAAGAGCCTCTTGAAGCTGAAGAAGTGATGGGTCACTGGGTAAATCGCAATCGAAGACAATCTATATCCAAACAGCCGTCATTCTTGTTGGTCAAAGAGGTCGACGAAGAAAACGAAGCTAAGGTGAGGGTAACGATTTAAATTTTAGAATTTTAACAAGCGCTTCGTAACTAGACTACAAGCAGTCCCTCCTTTTCGGCGAATTCCGTCGCGCGATTAAAAAAAACAGTGAGGCAACTCCCAGTGATCCCTGTGGTGCGCTACCATCAATATTTTAAAACCGTCCTTTTTTTAACTCGCGCGACAGACTTCGCGGAGGAGGAGAGACTGCTCGTAGTCTAAGAACTTACCAGAGTGGATCCAGAAATGTCAAACACGAAGCGAACAGGTAATTTAAAATATGTGACTTCTAGCAAGGTTGACTGGTTATTTAAAAAATGTGACTCCGGGCAAGGATCGTGCCCTCGGCCTCGTTTATCGTTTTTTTTTTTTATAATACTCCTTATCTGTGGAACCTGTATTAAGCGGTCACCCAGTATTAAACTGTCAACTCACCATTCCCCGTGGGTGGCCGCAGAGCTAAAGAGAGCTCGTTAGTGAGTGGGGCTATCACAGTTGGTTCGTTTGTCCGACAAGTGCCCCATATAATGCTAAATGCATGTTACGCCCCAGGTAAAAAACATAGTTCCTTTAATTTTTTTGTTTGAGGTAAAGCTGTAAAACTCTAAAAACAGTTGTATTCGATTATACTTTTCAGGATCGTAAGACTCCTTCAGCTGTTTCTCTTGTAAACGAAGTTGCTGAGCAAGTCTTGAGTTCTCACGAAATGGTAAGATTTGAAAAGGTAAAAATAAAACAAGTAAATAAGACAATCGTAACAAAAATTTCGCTAAATTTTAATGAAGAAGTTTAGAAGTGAAAGGCTTGTCTTTCGTGAGCGCCCTCTTGAGGTCTTAGAAGGGACCTTTAGCAGTTAGGACGGCAACGCTGAGGAAGACGTCGATTTAAAAATAAGCATATTTTTAGCTGGAATCTCGTGAAGTACTGGATGTGCCTATCATCTCTAACGGTGCCACGAGTTAATCTCAGCATAACGTATGAAAGCGGCATAGAGTAGTAAATGGAAACTTAAATAATGTGCCGTCGGGTTCCCCGCTCTTGAGACCGCGCAAATTTTGATGATTTCAAGTTGTTATTTTGCAGAGAACGGCAAAGAAATGTACACATTTTTTAAAAGGCACGTGCTGAGCTATCGTTCTGCTCATTAGATCTTTTGTTTGCCACCTCCTCGTTGCCGTCGGCGGGATATTTTCTCTTCTTCAATGGCAAGACACTTCATTCCCTTGGCGCTTTTGCCTTCTCAGGACTGTAAATAACAACCAGCAAACTCAATCAATCAGTCAATCATTTCATTAATGTCATAGTTTGAAATAAGGTTGCCCTGTATATCCGAGCCATAGGCTCACGTGTAAAAAATTAAAAGCTGAGCACATCAAATATGAATTACAAATGAAATATAGTAAGTATAAGAATATACAGATAAGTAATTATATTGAAGTACTTCGTTCAGACCACATTTAGATATAAAAATGGTATAAAATAGTATTTTTACATTCCTTAGTTAGATTATCAAATTATGACGCGGTAAGAGAAAGCTGATTCCTAAAAAGTGACACCTTAAAAGCAAACGAATAATGGAATAATTTTCAGTAATGTTATTTTTATAGAGTGTTTCATCAGAAAGCGGTAATGATGATGTGTCAACAGTGGGGGCTGCTGTCAGGATGTGGAGGACTAAGCAGAGTGAACGTAGAGCAACAATCGCCTCAGACTCCCCTCTGAATGACATTCCTAAGTATGCGTCAGAAATAGAGCAACAAGCGTTTAGCAGGATCAAGCAATGGAAGAACAGCTTTGCTCTGAAATTGAACAATGTTCTTGGGGAGCGATTTCAGGAAATGGTAGCGAAGAAGGAAGAAGAATCATCGCGAAAGAAGAAGCCAAAAGTTTTAAACGTTCCCATGAACTTGTCTGATCAAGAAATAGGACAACTGAGAAACAAAATACTGCTAGAATTGAAGCAAAAAACAGCTGGGGGCGGCAGCCATGAAACCCTAACAGACAATGACGTCCTCCTTCCACCCACGCTTCCCATTCCGCGAGTTAAATTTCCAAGAAAAGCATCAAGTGATCAGAACCCTGCAGATTTAAGGGCTCAAATGATGAAGGAATTATCACATCGTGTTTCGTCTGTTTTGGACGACGAGGAGGCTACCCACTGCTATAGACCATCATCTTTAGTGCCAGTCTCCACAAAGAACTCGCTCCGAGCCAAACATCAAAATGTTGATTACATACCCCATGGAACTGGTTACAAATTATTGGATCCTGATGGTATTTATGACTTGTTAAACTGGCACGAGACCGAGAGAAAGCGCTTGAAAGCTGAGTTAGAGGGGTTACCGCAAGCTGACTTACAAGGAAGACAGGTGGGGTATACCTATAGCAATGTGTGCTTTGACTGGTACGTAGCAGAGGAGCGGGTCAGCCTCAATAGCAACGGGTATTTTCTGTCAGTCTAAAATGAGGGAAGAAGGCTGTTTCTTAGCCTTGACAGCAATATAGTAAAGCTGTGGGGACTTCAAAAACTCATCATTGGAGTGGTTGTGACTATGACTTTGCTAATTTTGACCAAAACTTTTTGAAGGACTACGCTCATCGTACCAACAGACCTCTCAAAACAATCGTTTTTGCACAATTTGTTCAAAATTAGAATGCAAATGATATTTTTCTCCACAGAAGGTTCGAAGAACACGAACGTAATTTCATAGACAGCCATTGCCTATAGCATTAACCTCAGCTAGAAGGAATTACAATAAATTATGATTAACCAACTCCTCTTTGTTAAAAAAAGTTGACTGCGAAAATGTTAAAGTCTTTGATAGGGATTAGTCATGCAATAGTTTAGTCTTAGTAAATACATACTGAATAATCGCATTTACCAAGTGGAGTAGAGATGTTTTGATTCCTTTTTCATCATCTTTAGGTGGTCATTGATAGAGACGATGCTAATAAAGTTCTTCATTCGATGTTCAAAATAATGGAAGACATTTTTACGGGGACGATAAAGCGTTTCATGGGGTCAGAAGAATCAGTAGTGACCGTAGCCACATCAGACAATGGAGGCAAAGCTAATTTATCCAACACGACGGGAATTGGAGAGCAAACTCAAAGTACCATTTCAGGTCTGGCATATCGAGCTACGAAAACTGCAAAGTCACATTCAATAATACTATAACGCTGTGTAGAAAACCACTCCTTTCAGTCGCAAAATACTTTTACTGCAGCCCTGGAATCCAGGCCCCTAAGACGATGAATCCAATTACCATTTAAGGTTTATTGTTAATATGGTGATTCAAGTCCTTTAACCTCCTTTCCGCTTCTGGTTAAGTTTTAATGCCAAGTTTTTTGTTTTGACAGGTCAGGTTTTTTGTGTCACAAAATTTGCCTCGTGAAACTTGATTTGGTGTACTCGATCCAGGTCTCCTGACTCGCTCTCATACCTATAAACGTGGTTTATTACATCTTTATGTACATCTCAGTACAGAAGAGAAAAATGTAGCATCAGCAAGCTGTCGAGGACGTACATTTTTAAATTTTGGGGATAGAATTGAGACGCTAAGGTGACAAGTTCATGTTTGTAAAGGAGTTGTTTTCTTGAATCTTCAGAAACTAAAAAGAATGAAGAGCCTCAGGAGACTGATGACGCGAAATCTGATACTGAAGTGGAAACCGCCCGGGTAAGTATTCTTTTTTTGCCAGTTCGGTTTCTTCTTTGAAGATCAAAGGAAAATGTTATCGTTAAACCAACCGGGTAGGATGTTAAAATGCCAAACAGCCAATAAGAACTCAACGATAAAACGAATGATCGCGCAGGCGAGAAGGTTAGGTAGTGGGGCGAGTTTTATATTGCAATTACAGAACACAATATGCAATACCAAGATTATTTGTGATTGCTATCGGCACTTCTTAGGACTATTCCAATCTAAATAATAGAGCGGATCTTTCACTTAGAAAGTACTCATTTTTTTCAGTTAAGTGAAGGACGTACGCATACCTCTGGTGAAAGCATTTTTTCCCAAACTGGAAGTATCGAGAGTCTGTCAAGTGAATCAAGTGCTGAGCTACCTTCGTCAGAATCCTCCATGACAGGAATAAGTTTTTCTTCTTCTAGTGATGCTGTAGATGTATGTGACGGTCCAAATACAAATGCATCAAGGAGCTATAATAACATTGCTGTTTCAGTTAATAGTAACTTAGTAAGTGCGTCGTTAAGTCAGGAGGCCGACCGAGAAAGTAATAGGGAGCACAAACGGGCGGCTGATGGTCTCACAACACGTGGAAAAACTGATGGTCTCACAACACATGGAAAAGCTGATGGGTCAGATAAAGATCAAATTGTTAGAATCGAAAGCATTGAGTTTTTCCTTGAACACAGGCAAGACGACGCAAACGAGGACATGGTCGCAAGGCCAGGGGAAGAGCTATGCGACAAATTTCCAACTCTACACTCGTCTAAAAATACAACTGAGCCCAAAGAACTCACCGGGCAGACTATAAGTCCCATAGCTTTTGATAGCAATTATCAGGGTCAGAACCGTGGATTTGGGGAAACTCTTGAAAATAAGACAGCTGTTGAGGATATGTTGCAGCAAGAGTTGGAGACTTTAGAAAACGAGCTGAACGTTGTCAAGGAGAGGGCAATAGGTGGACTATTGGCAACGTCAAACTCGTCTGAAGAAGCAAGTCTACTATGTACCTTTAAAACTGAATCTACTGACACAACAATTGAACCCCTTTACCTGAGGAAACAGAATGAGAACTCTGACGAAAAAGTCTATCAAATGAAGATCCAAGAGCTACAAGAAACTCTTCAAAGGAAAACAGTTTATGGGGAAGTGTTAGAGGAAGAAATTAAGTGTTTAAAAAACGATCTGAGTAGTGTTAAGAGCAACTCTGAATACTGGTTTGATCAGTGCGCTAAGAAAAAGGAAAAAATCCAGGAATTACTTATCAATACTCAAGACGTGACCTCCCTCAACTTTGAATTGCGCCGGGAAATTAGCCAGAAAAGTAAAGTTATAAACGAAAGAGATGAGGAAATAAAGAGACTTATCAAAAGTAAGACTGAAGCAGAGATACTTTTGCGAGAGGTAAAGGAGAAACTTTCAGAAGCTCATAAGGAGACACAACTTTTGAAACTAGAGTTGGCGCAAATGAAGGAAGATAAAAGGTCAACCGCTTTCCAAACTGATGGTAAGGTTCTTACAAAGTCTGACATTCCAAATGACAACCTAAGAACAATTTACAAAGAAAAAACACGCTCTCTCGTTTCTAATCCCGGCGAACAAGTCATACCATCGAAAGTTGAATATTCAACGCTTCACCAAGGGTTCATGAGCTCAACCAGTAAGGATGAGAGGCAACAAAGCACGGTTGATAGAGAAGAGATAGCAACTAATGTCAGGAAAGCAAAAAGTACATTTTCCGCAAAAGATGGAAACAAGGGAACCCAATCATCATGGTTACCTACGAGAGCCTTTCTGGAATCAAACTGTCCAATGACCAGAGATCCAGAGAAAACTAAGAAAGCCGTAAGAGAATGGCTCAATAATATCATACGGGAGGCGAATAACAAATTGACCAGAGAGCAAAAAATCAGTAATTTGGAAAGCACTGACGACAATGAAAGCAAAAAATACTTCGATGGTGGAAAAAAAAGAGCGAGTTGCTCTCTGAGAGAGACAGTAGCTTCCTTTCAGGAAAAGATCTCGAAGGATGATTCAAAACTTATGGAGCAACACCACGAAACCTCTTCCTCTCGCCTGGGAAAAAAAACCAGGAGGCTTGACAGACAGGAGCCATTTAGAACTGCAGAACATGCCACAAAAGAATTTTTTGTTTCCAAGCGAAACTTGGCAACTGAACAGCATGCTATACAACAGGATGAGGTAACCGCGGTTAGAAAAGACTCAAACCTGGCGACTCATTATTCACTTGATTCCTGTATTGAACCATTTGATTCCCCCTTTCTTACCTGTTTCGACGTCGTGGACGTTTCAACTGCCGACCCTATTGACTCTGTTGAGCCATTTAGTGAAGTTTTTCTTCCGTGGTTAGATTATACAGACGCTGAATACCGGACAAACACGGAGGATTTACGGCGAAAAGTTAGGAGGGAGGGTCAACATTCTACACACAAAGCCGGTCTCAACAAATTCTTCTCATCAAGCGATGCAAAGAAAACGAAGCCCAGAGAATTCAAAATTGAACAGCTCATAGGTATGCGATATTAGAATATTGATACGCTGATGACTTATGCTTTGTAACATCACGTTCAAGCAGCGTTACTTTTTCTTGAGAATGAAATTTCAGAGGGAAGCCATGCTCAATGGGAAAGTCACAATATTTCATTCGTTTTTTACATTGTTCATTGTTCGCCAAAGGCGAAATGGATATCGATGGATAATCCCCGAGATGAAGGCGACACTATTCACTGACCCTGAGACGAATAATTGTTTTAGTATAATTGCTCAGGTGCTTTTGAATTCTTTTGTAAATTTGTTTTGTGGTTGAAACAATTCTGTAATCGTTTTGATTACTGGTATTGAGATAAGCAGCCATTTTCCATTAGAATTAAATAGGTTCATAATTTAATTTAATCTGCAACTACTTTGTGTCTCTTTTAAAAAGTGTTTGGAGAGTGTTAAGTTACACTTATGGCATCCTTTCTGCTCTTCAAAATCGAATTTTACTCTATCGCATTTCTCACTCCTTGCGTAACATGAGAGTGAGTTAGCAAAAGGACGGGAACGGGAACGTCATTTCAGAGCGGGAGAGCGCGCGGGTAGTCTGAACAGGACACTTTTTTTCGACTTCCGGTGTTGGCATCGTCGTTATATTCAACAAATTCAGGACGTCATTTCGCTGGTTTTCCCGTGCGATCGAAACGCGTGGGATTTGCGTAAATTGTGCACTTGTAAACGAGAAAACAATGATTGGAATTAATCCAAAACTCATTTCTAGGATAAGTAGGTCCCCTTTCTTGTTGTATTTAGTGTAGTTGTGAAAATTTATCGCTACATTTTTGCCAAGTGAGTGAATACTTTGTGCATTGAAGTCAGAATAACAATTCCAGAATGAGCTCGGTTTGCATTTTTTATGTCTTAAATATTTGATCAGCGCCGATGAAAACGAGGACAAGAGAGTCATGCTCACGCTTTTAAGGAAATGACAATTAATTTCATTCGATGAGTCATTCCAAATTTATTAATTTAATTACGTCTTGAACGACTTAATTAGTTGAAAGAAACAGGAAAAAAACCGAAGTCTTAACCGTTTCAATGGTGACCAGCTAATAATAATTTCATTCTTTCATTGTTAAACAAGAAGTCATCGTAAACAACTCCATCGCACGTTCGGTCGCATGGTTTCTATAAGGTTTCGCCATATATCAGTTCAAAATGCATTGTAGTAATGAAGGTAGTGCTCAAAAGAGATGTACTGTCATAAATGAGGAGAGAGATTCAGTAAAAAAGGGAGAGAACGACTGTCATGACGATTTCCAAAATATACTTTGTAAAATTATGAAGAAGAACGAGTAGCACTAAAATCTGGTGGCACGAAACGAAATGACATTCAAGATGATATTCAAGAACAAAGATAGCGCTGACAACGACAGCCAAGTCACTTCTGAAACACAACGGGGCGATGTACTCGACCCAGTTCCTTACCGGTCTTTTTGCTCCGCGCGTCGTTGTCAACTGACGTTTCCGTTCTCTTCCTAAATGACTCTTATGACGAAACGCGTGGCAGCGAGTTTGAAATTTAATTCCCCTGCCATAATCGCCTCCAAGGTGATTATAGCGACATGACACGATCCTCGACCAATCAGAGCGCATTCATCTTTGTAATGATGGAGCAATTATACTAAAAATAGCCACCAATGCAACAAACTGTTAAGAATATTTCTCACCCAAAGGGAATAGTGGTCCCTCAATGCCATGAAAACTGCCATGTTCTGACTTACTTCACATGAAATTGATAGATTAATAATGAGATAGTGAATAACATGTTCTTTTGGTACCCACTTTCCACAGCCGATGAGATGGACTTGTTACCGAGTAGTAATAAAGAAACCTGTTCAAAAGGAGCTCAAATCGAGCGATATTGCCAGCAAAACACCGAAGAAAGAAAAAAATTACTCACCCACAAAACTTCCGTTACAACGAAGAAAACAGATGAATCAACCTCAAAGCACGAAAGGCCTGATTCTATCAGGTACAAGCCCTCCGGTTTTGAACAATTTGAAAAGGTAAATCTTGAGTCACTTTACGCACTGCAAGGCTCGTTTGGTGCTGATAGTCGTGCTGACACTCTTTTGGTGGATGAAACGGAATTAAACGACTCACTTGGGTTTTTGATGGGTCTCTACGAGGTTACACCGCTTTCGGATGAATTTAACACTGTTGAGAAAGATATTGAGCGTTTACTAGTTAACTTAGATGCCAAAACGAGAAGCCTTGTTGACTCAAAAAGGGAACATTCAAGTGCTTTAGAAAAGGTTTTGACGCTTAAACTGGTGGAGAGTAAAGTTATGGTTGGAAATAACAATGGTCTTATCGACTCTATAAGTGCAGAGATTAAGCTTAACAAAGAGAAGTTTGGGAACGAAATTGAAAGAGGAAACATTTCCAATGTGCCTCAAATTCATGAAGAAGTGGAAACGTCAGTTACATATCCAGTGGTTGAAAAAGGTTCAAGAATGACAAAAAAGCAACGATTTGTGCCAGAACAACACACTCGTGTAGAGCTTCCTCATCGCACATACGAGCAAGACGATGAAAGTGACGAGCAAAACATCGAGGGAAGAAATGGCTATGGAACAGAATTTGTTGAGGAAAAAACGGTCGACGCTGAACACTGGATTTGTAATCTTTTTAAAGGGATCGGCGCTGTAGAAAAAATGAATAAGTTGAAAACAAATGGCACAGAGGAAAGCGAAAATGTAACAAGGAAAAAAGTTCGTCAAGGTCAGGAAACGGATTTGAAAGATTTTTTTCCAAGCTGGTACCTTCCGGAATCTGTTGAGTTTTTATCTTCTCTGAACAAAAGAGTCATTGCAAATGAGAAAAGATGGAGGGATGGTTCACATGTCGCTCCAAACAACTGTGAAAGAAGAGGAAACGTTCATTCAGGGAGTGATAGCACAGGGACCAAAAAGTTCACCGAAACAATTCCTTTCGGTCATAAAAGGCAACAAAGAAAAGCTGAGAGAGATTTTCGTCTTGCCTTATGGCAAGAAAAGAACGCTCTTTTGCGAGACGAAAACGGCGATCCAGTCAACACCAACAACATCGATGGTAGCCTTCAGGGAAAGATTGGAGAGAAGTTTAAAAGGGCCTCTCGCTTCAGAGAGGAGGAAACTTATAAGGTAATATTAATTTTCTTAAAGGTTATAAGGCCATGCAACAATATGCCGCCTTATCCTCTTCTCGCGCTCTAAATACAGCTTATTTGAAGGAAGCATCAATGAGTAATCTGTTCTAAAATTTTGGTAACGCGATCCGTCTTTGATTAAGTAAAGCAAAATCACTGTCGAGAATAACTAATGGATCCGGTTCTTTTTTTCAATAAATGTAAAACTAAGAGAGGTACCCAGCAATGAGGAAAGACATAGTTAAATATAATAACATGACTTTTTTGACACATTGACGGTTTGAATGATAGTTTTCAAATCTCTGCTCAATTGGGCTCAGTGAAATCCCAGTTGTTAAATAGTTTCTAAAATAGTTTGCCAATGATCTTTGTAGTTCTCCTTGAGCCTTAATTTTACTACTAACAGCTCGTATCTTGATACATATGGAATATTATTACAAATGTGATATTCACGTGAATTTTTCCAGCATTGCTGGAGCATTTTGGCCAAGTGGTTAGGGCGCTGGACCTGTACTCTTGTGGTCCCGGGTTCAGCTCTTCACCCCGTTGCTCACTTTTTTGTTTTCGGTTGCCCCAAGTCTAACTCCTAGGCTGCGCTTTGCCTGTGGCCAGTTGGGATTTTTGTTTTTACAATGTTTATTTACAATTTGTATGAACTGGCCCTGAGAAGCCCTGCTGGGGGAGTGGTCAATTATTATTATTATCATCATTATTATTGTTATTATTTTAATTACTTATCGAACTTTATGATAACGGAAACGCTGTCGGAACGTTTTCAAGAAATTGACCATTATTCAGAATCACTTGTCTTTAAAACAGTTAACTGACCAGGAACCAATATTCTAGCATCTTCTACTTATGCGGTCTTGTTGCAGTTGAGTGAGGGAAGCAAATATCCAAAGAGGATGACAAACTTCGGAGAGCAAGAAAGGACGTCATTAGGTGAGTCTCGCTTCTTGAGGATTTCTCCTGCTCTGTAAAGGGTTTTCCATTTGTAAAAAAATCGTCCCTCTTTTGTGCGAACATCTGCTTAAAACTACTTTCATTGATAACTGAGCCCCTTACATTTCACGCTCATTTTGGAGAAATATGAAAATAGACTCTGCTTTGTAGAGGTTTCAACGTTTTGATATTAAATTTTGATCTCAAATGAGTTTGGTAAACTCAGAAATAGAGTTACAGCCGACTAGAACTAACCAGAATATCAGAATTTGTCGATGATGATTCTCACTTCAGATAACTGTGGGCATCACTGGTAAACTTTGGTAGCTCTGTGGTAACTGTTTTTTTCCATTGCATCTTAAATTTTAAGGTATCACAAGTTCGATATGTTCTACAGATATATTACAGAGCGTAGTAAAGCAATACCCTTGGACTTACTCATTATTCTGGAAAGTCGACGGATTAACACTTTGAACTTGAGGAACCAAAACAGACAGAATTGCCTTTATGACTGTTTATCGTAAATTATTGATAATACTTTCACAGAAGATGAAAAACAGTTGGATTCCCTCTTGGACATGTATAAATCAACTCAAGACGTGTTGCAGAAACAGGCAGAGCAGGAAATGGCCATTAAGAAATGTAGGAACAAAGTAGATTGTATGACTGAAGAAATGAAAACGTTACAAAAAATTACTGCAGAGGATGGTACGCTTAAACAAGTGAGTAATAGATTAGCTTGAACCAATGAGTCAACTGTTAAATTCAATAGCTTTTCTTACTGTTTAAACAGGTACTACTGATCAGTACCGTAATGATTTGATTTGGCGCCCTATAATAAGCGCCCCCTTCTAATGAGCACCCCCTCTAATAAGCACCTTGTTCAAATTCGTTTTTGATAATAAGCGCCGCCATTCTTATAATTGCCCCTATCGAGTATGAAGTATCCTCATTGCAATAAGCGCCCCCATATCAATTAGCGGCACTATTCTGTTTCAGTGATAGTGCTTTTAGTGTAACTGCACATTCAGATCGAAGGTGGTTCATCTTCCTTTAATTGCTTAATTGCCTACTTCAAACCTTATTATGCAAAAACAGTGGTCTTCGTCTCACTCTCCCAACTATAATGTCCATGTGTGTGCACAGTTCCTTTAAACGAATAATCACGCCTTCAAATTTTGCGACGACGATTTCGTTACTGTTCTTTCTGACCAGGAAAGGTCCAGGGACAGCATGTCCGTTCATCAGTGTTCTTGATCCTTTTCAAACAAACATCAAAGATTTTTGTGAAAAATTTTCTTTCCTTGAAAATCAAAGAAGCGCCGTGTTCCTTAATAGCGCCCCGTTTCGAATAAGCGCCCTGTACATGTTAGTGTGCTACTAAATTTTGTAATGAATTTTATTTTTTCCAGGGAATAAAAATGGTTTCTGGGAAAACTTCGTGGTCAATTTAGCAACGGCAAAGAAGAAGTTTGAAAGATTGCTGGTTCATAAGTTCATTTGAGCCATGTTTGAGAAACTTCTTCATGGAATTACATGGTTATCGTTCTCAACTGAGGCCCTAGATCTATTGTCAGAGTTTCAACAAAATAAACCTATTTTTATTTATAAATAAATCAATATCATTACTTCATGATCTCTTGGTAGACTTTGGCTTCATGTGCAGCGCCCGCATTCATTTGCATACAACTTCCTTCACTAAATCTTTCTGGCTTGTTTGGTTTGTTGCTTAATATAAGACTAGATGACAGCACTGTCCAAAGAATCATTGCTGTCACATTGCCTTTCTAAATTGTTTGTTTGTGTTTAAAGATTTGTGAAGTGGAGCTCTCTTGTGAGGTGCTTTCTTTCAGATTTCCTCTAACCAACTTAAAGATACAAACCAGGCTGAATGAAAATTCCATTACCAGTTTCAAAAACCTTTACTTTTTATTAAAGGTAGTTGTTCGTCTGTCGTATTCGACAATGACCATGAGACTTCGAATATTGAAAACAGAAAAGTCAAGGTCCGTGCGTAGGAAGATGCCTTGAGAGGCCTGCCCTTGACTTGAAGAGGCGTCTGCATGTTGGACAGGGAAAGATTGGCACTGTACTGGTTGCAGACGCTGTTCGCACCTTGCGAATGGCTCTTTTGTTTTTGGACTCCTGAATCCACTTTTTTTCGGCTAAACGAGCATCAGATGATACTGCACTGTGCCAGGTGGGACGGTCAGCTGCAAGGGCTTCCCAATTTTCAACTGCCTGTTTTTCGACAGCAGCAGGGGATCCCCGCCAACCGTGGTATGCTGGCAAGGGCGTGATTAAACGGACTATTTTTAGGGCACCTTTTCTAGCCTCTTCCTCCTTGGAGGTGAGCAGAGCGTTCCAAGGTTCTGGGTGCTTTCGATTTGTAAATTTGGATTGAAATTTTGAAATACAGATTTCGGATTTTGCAGTAAAAATTGAAAAGCAAAAACTAATTTCGATGCTGAAAAATCTGTCCTCAAGGTCAATTTCCATTAATAAATCCAGAGCTATTTTTTTGTACATTTTCTAACTAACGGTTAACCCCAGTGAGACCCTTCCTAGAAGAGCTGTAGTTCTACAAATCCTTTTGGATTTACCAAAAAACGCAAAACTTAGAAATTCAGAAGATCTGGAGTGCCAAGACCAAGATCTGAAATTGGCATGTCCTCTTTTAAACACAGGGCTGCGTTGGCATGGAACCTTCTTCCGCATCACGTCGAGGACTGTGCAAATTTACGATCATTTAAGATGGGCTTAATGCGAACAAACATCTACTAAATAGCATATATTTTGCCAAAGGTTCCTGCTGTGTTTCAATGAAAAATGATGATTACTTATATTTTTATATATTTATTTACTATTTATAATTGCATCTAAATTTATCTAATCATTATTGTATTTAAGAAGAAATTTATATCTTGCTCACTTATATTTTTATCCTTATTTTAATGCGACAATATTTAATTAGCTGTAGTTAGGCAGGTCCACGTCAGGACTTTGGTCTTGCCAATTTACATAACCTGCATTGTGAAATAAAGATGTATGTATGTATCTAAGCACCCACCAAATATAAGCACTACCCTCTAACAACCCCTCTATTAAGCGCCTCCCTCGAATTAGTTTTTGTTAATGAGCGCCGCTGTTCTTATAATCACCCCGGTCGAGTATGAAGCACCCGCATTACAATAAGCGCCCCTATACCAATTAGCGGCACTATTCTGTTTCAGTGATAAAACTGTTAGTGTACCTGCACATTCAGATCGAAGGTGGTTCATCTCCCTTTAATTGCTTAATTCCTTACTTCAAACCTTATTATACAAAAACAGTGGACGTCGTCTCAGTCTCTAAACTATAATGTCCATGTGTGTGTAAAGTTCCTTTAAACGAATGATGTCGCCTTCAAATTTTGTGATGACGATTGCCTTGTTATTCTTCCTGGCCAGGAAAGACTCGGGGACTGCATGTCCGTTCATCAGTGTTCTTGATCCTTTTCAAATAAACATCAAAGCTTTTTTTCGCACAATTTGCTGTTTCCCGAAAATTAAATAGCGCTGTGTCCCCTAATAGTGCCCCGTTTCGAATAAGCGCTGTCCCTGTAGGTATCAAGGGTTAATAAGTGCCCCAGGTGCTAATTGAATCATTACGGTATGTACAAGCTAAGAAAACTCAATATCGCTGAGCTTTTTTCATACTTGATTTTTTTCCTTGACGAAGAAAAGCTTTAGAATTTGCCAAAGCGACAATGGCTTCTGACTCTTCAGGCTCTTAAGTCGAGGATGAGGGCATGAATATATCGTCTTTTCACGAGCGTGGGACAAAGAAAAAATTGTGGGTCCCCATGAGGAATCAAACCTCAGACCTTCGGATTCCGCGCTCCGATGCTCTACCATTGAGCCACAGAGACTCCATGGTGAGCGAGGTCTATTACGAAGTTCATATGACACGCGTCCTGCATATATAGGATCAGCAATGTCGATAGCGTAACGTTTGTCGATAGAAATAAGAGAGATGGTAAGTGTTTGAGCTAGGAAACTTACCATCTCTCTTATATCTATCTAGTAAAGAGGAGTTGCATGTAGATATACATGCTAGTGGGCTACTAAGCTTTCTATAGATTTA